ATGTTAAAGCGCAACGAATTCGTGGGCACTTTTGCAAGGCTTGGAACATATGTCCAGCCCATCCAAATGCTATCGAGGTCCTGGAGAGGTTTACATGCTTTCTTTACGGTTTTTCAACAACTGTCACCAAGGCCAATGGCGCCTGCTCAAAGAGTTTCTGGAAGATTTTTAAAACTAAAGGGAAAGTTGTTGACCTTAGTTTGATGCAACCGTGTGTTGCCAATCTACAATTGCAGATAGCTAGATCAGCTTATGCTGCAAACATTTACAGGAATGCAGATCAGTTGCAGTTAAGCATTAGCAGTCCAGTTGATCATGGTTGGGATGCAGCCCGTAAGGCATCGTGGAGTAAAGACATATAAGTAGATAAAAATGCCGAGCTGCTTCTAAATACCAATCAAGATGCTGGAGAAGACAATACTGACTAAATGAATGACAATTGCTTTGAGGATGATTATAGCAATGACTCTGATGACAACGGATACTAGAATGTTTATTCAAAACAACTTTAAATGTTTATTAGCCATATTATATTGCCTTTTGACATAATCTTTTTTAAGCTTTTAAAGCAAATCTATCTGTGCAGCAGATTTTACTCTAGAAATATTGAAAACGATAAATAAACGATTTCAGCATGAAAAAGGGACCAACCTTCGAAATCAGTATATCGAAATTGATGAGAATAAAAAATTTACAAACTTTTTTTCAACATTCAAATTTGGATGAAAACGAGGTTTGGACATGAAATAGAGGCTTCCTGGTACTGAATTTACATTTATAAAATAATTTTTTGAAATCAGCACATCAAAATTGATAAAAATTGATTCATTTACAAACTTTCGTTCAACGTTCAAGTTTGGACGAAAACGAGGTTTGAACGTGAAATAGAGGCTTCCTGGTACCGAATTTCTCCGTATAACATCGATTTTCGTAATCAGCGTATCAAAATTGACCAAGTAGAGTTGGTCTTGCAAATTTCCTCGATGGGTGATGATACCCCCCCTTCCTCGCCTGGTCTATTCCAACTTGTGCAGTCTGTGACACCAATGGAGGTCGAAGAAACGGAAAAGCCTACAGCTGAGAAAGTATGTGAAAACAGTCAACCAAAAAGGGAGTTTTGCCCTTCTGAAATTAAGCTGGATGCACTGACGAGCAAACAGGAATCAACTGTGAGAAAATTGCTTCACGCAGAATCGCAATCATTTTCCACAAATGAGTCAGATATGGGGGGGGGGGGGTGCAAATGACCTAAATTTAGAGATACAGGTACACGACAAGACTCCAGTGCAAATGAACTACATCTCAGTACCTCTTCCTCTGTACACCAAAGTCAAATCATACATCGAAGACTTGCTAAATAGAGAATTCATCACCCCATCCAAATCTTCATGGTCATCACCGGTAGTTTGCGTCTGGAAAAAGGATGGAAGCCTCAAACTCTGTGTCGACTACAGAGGTCTCAACAGTAAAACAATGAAAGATAGACATCCTTTGCCTCATATTCAAGAAACACTACACAACTTAGGAGGCAAGCAATGGTTTTCTGTACTCGATCAGGGAAAAGCATATCACCACGGTTTTTTAAGTCCTAGTGGGTACGAATACCTTTCAGACTCACAAATGCCCCTGCAGCATTCCAACGCCATATGGAAAATATATTGAGAGATCTTCAAGACGATATTGTGATTCAGTACCTCGATGATTTGATTGTATCTAGCCACATGTGTATCTAATTGTTGTATCTAATCCTTCTGTGTTAGTCACGTGTGTACAGTGCTTCAACAACTAAGGGAACATGGAATCAAGCTAAAAGCAAGAAAATGTGAGTTGTTTAAGCGTGAAGTGCATTTTCTTGGTAGAAAAGTGTCCGGAGCGAGTTATTGCATGGATGATAGTAGTAGATCGAAGCTTTCACAAGCTTACTAGACAAAAGGCCTATGTGAAGGACACTTACTAGTTACTACTTGAAGTAAATAAATAAATTTTGTGGTATTTCCACCCAACACAACGGCCTGCACCCAGTTATCAGGCTTATTGACATGGTGCCACTGCACAGCCAGTTAAAGATTCTGGTAACGACCTATGGAGTCTGGCCCGCGTGATTGTGGTAACATGGCGCCCAGATGGTTTTAGATTGGATTTGCTGATGTTCTCGCTGAGTTATTTTGTTAGGTTAATCTTGTTTTGAAGCAAATGAGTTTTTTTTATCAATATCTCGGTTATCAAGAACAGGAAGTCGTGGCAGGCTAACAAAATTGGTGCATTGGCGGGGAAAAGGGTCAAAACCCTTTTCACAATGTTTACAAAGGCAAACTGCAGTTTTTGAACAGAGATTATGGACATTTCCGGAGTATTGGTTGCAGTTTTGAATGATTTGTGAAGTGATTATTGATTGAATTACATGCAGAATGCCGGATATTACACCAGACATTGTGGAAGAACTCGAATTAGAGGTGGAGTCGGTGATTTGTTCCAAGGAAACTTGGTTGCAGATTCTATTTTCGCTGGCTGAGTTATTGCACTTACCAGGGGACAGTCCCAAGAATAAAAGCTGTCTAGCAGTGATTAGAGTGGTAAGAAAACATATTTCTGAAAGTTTAGAGGCAAATAAAGGTGATATAGAAGGGCAACATGAGTTTTTAACAGGTGTTTTGGATGTCCTCAAATTATCAGAGAAGGGAGACCCCAGAGATCCCACAGGTGGGGGGGGGGGGAAGCCTTCAGGGACAGCCAGATGATGTTGTTTCAAATAATTTGGATATCAGGGAGGCTAATGAGGATGCATATAACCCTGATAATGAGATTAAAAGCTTGCAAGCCCAATCAAATAGGCTAAAAAGTGCTGCTGATAAAGATGCAAGTAAAGGGGCTACAGGGAGAGTACATGGAAGTTTTGTAGGTGCATCTTATATAGCTGTCCCCATGACCAACATTCTCAGGCATGATTTTAAGATTAGCCGACAGATTGGAGACCCTCGGAATACCATGACATACATAAGTTTATTGAAACAAATTGATGCTGGTCAGAACAAAGGTTTTACTGCTTCTGAAATTGTTGAAGGGGTTATCAAAGCTATGGCTCCATCCCTTAAGCTTAAGAATTACCTAGATTCTATGCAAAATCTAACACTCAAAGATTTGAAAGAAATTTTGCAGGCCCATTATGGGAAGAAAAACACCACTGATTTGTTTACAGAACTAGCAAAATTGAGTCAAATGGTAGAAGAAGATGCTCTCACTTTCCTCACAAGAGCCCTTGCATTACGTCAACAGGTTATTTTTGCTTGTGATCAAGGTAGGGGGTCAGAGATCCAATATATCCCAAAACAGGTACAGTCTTTGTTTTTGCGTTGCTTAGAGCTGGGGATGAGAGATCCCACTATCAGAGCAAAAATGGGACCTTGCTTAAGTGATCCAGGAATATCTGATCAGAATCTTATCACAACTCTGAGTGATATAATAGCTAGAGAGGAAGAACATAGGAGGCTGATAGGGAGTGTTAGGCCTAAAGTTAGAATAAAAGAGGTAGAAGCTACAGGATGTTGTGATGAAAGGTCTTATAATCAAACAAAGAGAGAACCAAAAGCTGGAAAGTTGCAAACAAAAGTTGAGGCAATGGAAGTGCAGATAAATAGTGAGAAAATGAATAGGCTGTTGGCTAATAAAGTAAGGCCTCAATACAGCAATTCTAATTTCTACCAGAAGAAGAAACCAGCATGTACAAGGTGTAAGCGAGAGGGCAAGGAAGATTCTTGTAACCATTGTTTTGGATGTGGCTCAGAAATGGATGTGGTACAAGGTGTAAGCGAGAGAGCAAGTAAGATTCTTGTAACCAATGTTTTGGATGTGGCTATTTTCCAAAGTCATTTAACACCAAAAGAAGACGCTAAAGTTGCCAAGTTGGTGGGACGTCGCTGTAATTTAAATATTCTATTAAATGGGAAGCAAGTAATGTTATTGAAATGTTATTGAAATATTGGGGAAGGCCAAGATCTAAATATAGCAGCAGCAAATGGGACCGATATTCCGTTTGTTGGTTTTGTGGAGTTAAAATTTGAATTAGGCCAAAACAAGACTGACTGAATGAAAGAAAAGCCCGGAGTCCCCCTGAGGTCGGAGGACCATGGCAAATGGCTGCATTTTGAGGAGAAGATGGCGTTATACGTACACTCAAGGTCTTCTCCAACCAACACAGGTTCGGATGTACTTACGGCACTGATTTCTTGCTGCTCTAATCGCGAAAAAACCGCATAGGCAGGGAAAATTAGATCAGCCTTGGCACCTGAGACCTTCTCTTTGTAGGCCAACAAAACTTTCTTGAGCTCTTTGACAGTTAATATCGAGGAATCTTCAATGCAGGAAACCGCCTTCCCCTTAGGTAACAATCAAATAAATTGATCCATATCTTTAATACGAAAATCGGTGGAAATCTTTTATAAAACGGCGATAATATATCTCGAAGACTTATAGATGCAGAGAGGTTGATCTCTGATGTTCGGCACCGAAACAACTCTACCCTCGTTTTGGATTTTAAGTCAATGCAATGTGAAAGGGGTCTATTAAACACATGCTTTTTTCTTCAGTATCACCCTCCGGTGTGCAACATTTAGAATCTTCAAAGCAATCTGTACTTCGATGGTTGCACTTGCCACAATAAACACATCCATTTGACTTCTGAGAGCTTCGTTGAAAAGCATTAGACATCAGCATTTTGCACCATTGCTTCTCTAACTGGCCCCAGTTTATCAATCAACAAAGACATGGCTTTGCACGGTTTCTTTCTTCATCATTGCAAGCGTTTGTATGACTCTCGCAAGCTTGTTATAAGATTCATGGGTTTCTCGGATCTGACTGATAATCGTTATAGGTTTCAATTCTTCCAGTTCAATACACCAATTGCATATCCGCGGCCTCATATCCACGCGGAGGACTGGACCGAGTTTTTGGGTGAAAAATTTCACCCACAACAAGAGTGCCGTTGAGTTCAGGGTGTTTTGTTGATGGTGATCGCTGGTGGCTGGGAAATTTTTCGTGTTTTTGTTATATTTTCGACAATTTACCTCACCAACAGGAACAAAATTTTTTCAAGACTCAAGCAATTACTTGTCCTAACTCTTATTGGAGGTTTAGGCCCACATCAGTTTCCAGAAGTGACGATGGATTTTGATTTACTTTCAAAGATGAAGGTTGAAGAACTGAAGAACTTTCTCCGCCTTCGTGGATTGAAAGTCAGCGGAAAAAAGGAAGAACTTGTCGCAAGAGCCTTTGTTGCTATCGAAAATAATGTGCAGGTTGTGCAAACTGCTGAAGAAGTTGAAGTTGCTCTTGGGAAACAATATAGCAGCAAACTCAATATTTTTGTTTCGGACGATCTTGGAAATCATGTTATTCCAGATCCCTTGAAGCTGGATGAGGGGTGGATTTGTGAAAAGGAAGGGGTGAAAGATTGGCCAAGCACACTGTACCCCGATATATTCCACTTCTTGGCTTTTCATCCAAGTGAGCTTTCAAGCAAGGATTTATCAGACTATAAAACGTCAAAAGGGTACAACTACTATGAAGAAGGATGGTTAAAGCCACTCAGCTTCCACAAAATTTCTGATGATAGCCCACTTTGTTCACTAAAAACAACATGTAGACCCTCACAAAAGCTTTCTGACGTGCCACATAAGTTGTGGGTTTGTCTAGAGAAAGCTACAGGGCGCATTATGGCTGCACATTGCTCATGCATGGCTGGAATGGGTCAAACATGTAACCATGTAGCAGCTGCATTATTTAGGATTGAGGCGGCTGTAAGAATGGGACTTTCCAACCCAGCATCCACTTCAAAACCCTGTGAGTGGCTTCCAAATGCTAAAGATGTGAAACCGGTGAAAGTCAAAGACTTGAAGCTTGTTCGGGGAAATTTTGGCAGAAGGGGGCAAACTTTGAAGAAACTAAATTCATCTCCAAAGAAAAATTATAAGCCAATAATTAACTTTGAAAGTTCCCTGACATTAGCTGATGTTACAACAGCCTTGAGATCTGCCTGTGAGGAAAAAGATTCAATCATTTTCACTTCAGAACTTAAAGAAGACAAACTAGCCAATGCAAATATGACAGGGAATTTGCTTTCAACATTTGATGATGTCCTAGCTAGCGTAAAAAATTTAAATGAATTTATTTCCAAATTGGAATATTTTGCGGACCATAAGGAGGAAATTGAAAAAGCAACAAGAGGACAAAGTGACAATGCTTTTTGGTTTTCAGCTAGGAAGCACTGTATAACAGCTTCAAAAGCTCATGATGTAATGAGTAGGATGGTTACTTACAAAAGAAATTTTGAGGAAACAGATTTTATTTCAGTCATAGATAAAGTATCTGGGAAAACACATTTAAACATGGATTTGCCTGCAATTAAGTATGGCCGAGCAATGGAAGCAGAAGCCGTGGCAGCATTCTTTTCCACATACTCAAAAGAGCACAAAAATGCAAAAATATTGGATTGTGGTCTTTTCCTATGCAAAGATGTCCCCTTTGTTGGAGCTAGTCCTGATAGAATAATTGTATGTGACTGTTGTGGAGAGTCATGCCTTGAAGTAAAGTGCCCCTTTTCAATCTCCCATACTAGCCCAACTGATCCCAATGTACGCTTGCCATATTTGATGCTGAATGAGGACTCCACAGTCATGCTGAACAGGAAGCACAAGTACTTTACCCAGTGCCAAGTACAAATGGCTGCTACAGAAATGACAAGAACCTACTTTTTTGTTTGGACTTCACATGGAAATTTCACAGAAAAACTTTATTTTAATAGGGATTTTTGGAGTGAAACACAATTATTACTGAAAGAGTTCTATCTGTCAAAATATATTCCATATGTGTTACAAAAATAAATGAGTTTATTTGTAATCTAGTTAAAATTCAAATCAAAATGAGTATTTAGTTGCTAATTATACTTAAATAAACACAAAATTAAGTCTTTCCACTGTTAATCATGTTGATTAAGCTTTAATTAGAGGTGGCTGAATATTACAAATTGCAGCACATGTTCTCATAATATCATCAGCAAATGGAAGTACTGTAAGTGGTAAAGTGTTCTTTAAAATCCTGAAAGTTTTTATTCGGTTGATTGCTCTCTCAACATGGATTCTTAAGTTGGCAATCTCTTTAGTTTTTTTGCATTCCCTTTCTGTCATCTGAGACTTGACCCTTGCTCCAGGTGGGACATACAAAGTACAGTAGAAATGAAGCAGATCATCTCTTATCTGAAAACCACGATCTGCCATAATCTCATTGCCATACTCTAGCAAATTATAAAATCCACTGTCTCTACATATGTGTTGGTCAGTAGCCCTTCCCCCATAACCATTAGAGACAAAGGAAATAAATCCAGATGGAGTAATTCCAATCAAATATTTTATTGTGTTATGTTTCTTATAATCTGACCAGGTTGCTGCCTGGTCATCAAGTGATTTTGGTCTTTCAATATAAATCTCTGTGCAATCAATGATGCATCTTGTCTTGCTGTGAGCTCCATTGAAAGCATGAGGCAAATTTGTCTGTATTACTTCACTTGGAAGCCATGAAATTAATGCACCTCCTAACACAGTGCTCAAAAATCGAATCCATGTGCAAAATATTCTTGAGCAGCTTGAGGAAGATATCTTAAATCTATCTGCCAAATCATCAAGTAGTGAGCCAAGCCTTAAACGCATCAATACAAGCAAAAATTGATCTTTCTTTGTCAGTTTATGTGTTTTTGTTCTTTTCTGTCCATGTGTTTTGGCTTTGTGAGAAAATATGGTTTTTGATCCTCTCCAAAGAACCAAATTTGGCATATATGGCTTCAAAACTGAAAACAGTGCATGAAACATCTTTACAGTCTGAATGCCAGTGAAAAACTTCATCTTTCTATCTATTTTAATGCAATCTGCTGACATTCCCAGTGACTTAGCTTGCCTTTTCTCCAAAGTGCAAGATTCAAGCTCACTAGAAAGCTTATCAACAGCCACTTTGAGGTCGTTGTTTTCTTTAGTGATGGCTGAAATTTTTCCCATTAATTCCTTGACCGAGGGTGTTCCTGAGTCGTAAGGTTGGCAACCCTCCTCATTGCAAGGACTTTCTAGGACATTGAAGATCTCGTGGTCTGACCTTGGCCTATTGTGTTCATCATCATCGGCAACACAAGCAGTTGAAGAACTTGGTTGAGGCTCCGCAGCTCTTCTAACCAAGGTTCTTCTTGGTCTTTTTGCTGGTTTGTCATAACCCAAATCTAAAGAAGGGTTAGGGTTAGCCAGAGTTGGTCGCCCGTCAACGAAATGTCGTGAACAAACCATGTCGCTCTGGCCAGGAGTCCACTCTTTGTTCCCCTTTCTTGTTCGGCGCATTAGTCTTGTCCACTCCTTTCTCTTCTCCAAATTTAGCTTAATGCTCGGAAAAACATGTAGTGTAAATGGGCGAGCACAAGGACAATCTTTGTGTGGCTGTCCTGAGTGTTCATCGCAGCTACTTTTCTCCCAATTTTTGAGTTTGTATCGACTGTTCGTACAACCAATAACTGCACAATTTCCATTCACCATCTTTCGTGTTGCTAGACAGACAACTAGAGTTACGACAGGTATTTGCTGGAGCTTTGAAAATTTATCCTCCCCTTATTACAGACTGCACTACTGGAGATAAACAACGAAAATGAAACAATCAGGACTCGAGAAATCTCCCAGCCACCAGCGATCACCATCAACAAAACACTCCTTACACAACGGTACGCTTGTTGTGGGTGAAATTTTTCACCCAAAAACTCGGCCCAGTCCTCCGCGTGGATATGAGGCCGCGGATATGCAATTGGTGTATTACAAGGGCCTTTCGTACCTTTATGTCCTTCCAATATGTTGTTTGTAAGATTCTTTTTGCTTCTTCTCTTTGCGTCCTTTGGCTTTCAATCAATCAATTCAAGAAAGTTATTCAATTTGCTTACTTCTGCTATGTTTGAACCATCTACCTCCACCGAAAATTGGTTCCAAAAGCATAGCCAATCCTTGTGATCCCCTCTGAATGGCGCTATTGTGTATTTTTTAAGCTTTACCACTTGATTCTTTCTTGCTTTGTCCTCCCTGTTTTGCAGCATGATTTCACGTTCCATTTGTAGTTTTTTCTGCATCCATTCCTCCTCTAGTTGTAGTTATCTTAGTTTTGTCTTCTTGTCTCCATTGGTTGGTCTCTTGCCAATTTTGCCTGTTCCTCCATAGAAATCCGTTGTTGGTCTTGTTCCCTTTGCTGTTTTTTTCTGTGGCTCTTTTCCTCAAGGCTGGCTAATTTTTCTTTCAGCTGTCTCCGCATATCTCGAAACTTGTTGCTTTGTTGTTTCTTGGCTCCATTCCTTTACTGATTCTAAGGACTCTTCCTCTTCCTCAAGCATAGTATCAACAGCTTTTTCTCTCGCATTGTCCAAATCCTTTATCGTTTCACAGATTCTTTCATATCCAGATGATATTTCCTCTTTTTCTCCCGAATGTAAAGTTTTCTCAAATTGTTTGGATTTCCTCTATAAACCCCGTTGAAAAAATTGATTTGAAGTCATCTTTGTTATGTTATCTTACATGAAGCAGTAGTTTTGGTATTCTCACATGAAGTAGTAACTTAAGCGGTTTGTAGATTATACTCACTTGGGCGAGAAGACGTGTCCTATCTTTACAGTACTCTTGCAGAACATAACAATCTTTTTGAATTTTCCAATCCTATCAAGCCCTGGTCGCCACTTTTAGTGTGGGGAATTCTCTCCTTTAGTCCTGTGCCCAATAGAACTCCCAGTGACACTAAATAAAACTCACAGAATTTTAATGTAAATTTCCAAGTCTATTCAAGCTTATTCTTCCGCAACTACTATGTTGTGCGTATATATATACACGTTTACGATATAAATTTCTCGGTTGATAAATCATATACACCAGAATATAAAATTAGCAATGATTACATAATGAACTTATTTCCAGAAAATTCCAGAGCAACCGGCTAACAATGAGACTGTAACGAAAACGAGGTTATAACAACAAATTCATGCTGATAGGCCAAAGCTAGAATGTTCTCGAATTTCTAGTGCAGTAGGTTAGCTAATGATAGTAAAATTAAACATAAACGCATTACTAAGCAAATTGCAACGATAGTAGGAATTGTTCAGAACTATGTGGAATTATCTAGAATACAAAGTAAGTACTATAATTGTTCTAGATTTCCCAACAGAACTAAGCTTTTCAGCATTTCTAAAGAATTAGATCTCAATTGTTTTTTGAACCCCATAATTGCCTTTCTGTTATTCCCTTTCTTTCTCCTGATTTTTAGTTGTTGCTTTTGATTGACTTTTTGATGAGAACCACAGAGAGTGACTGATCAATTCTACTGACCCTTTTTGAGTCTCAATACTTTTACCTTGGGGTGGTTCACTTTATTTTCATATGAATAAAAAGGGGGTTGTCACATAACGATAGCTTTTAAAAAAAAATTCCTCTGGTCCCTACGGGACTTAAAAATGAAAGGTCCCTAAACTGAACTGAAAAAGAAACAAGAACATAGCAGAATGAAAGGTCCCAAAAAATAAACAAAAGATGAATTCAAAATTTCATTATTTTTTGTTTTTATCTTTTAGTTCCATTCTTGCAGAAAACATTTAAAAATTGGGAAGATTCCCTTGAAAAAAGGTTTGACAAGGGAAGACCCATGACAAGATCAAAAGCTGATGCAGCATATCTCCTTGTATGCAAATATTTTGAAGTCATGTGCTTTCTTCCTGTTGTTGATCTGTTAGATATGCAGGCGCAAAATCCTGGAACAGCATTACTGATGTCATCAAACAATCTCCTTCAGTTTTAATTTTTCGTAGTAAACTCAAATCTTATATATTCTCCACAAAATACCAAGTTCAATTTGAAATGTCTCTGAAGATTTCTACAATCATCAAATGAACTAAAAACGTTATTACCATAAAATATTAGACTTTTAGTACAGGGGGTGCTCTCTCCTAGATTAGTTTATCTATTGAGAGAGCTCCTCCTTAAGAAATTCCAAACCTACAAACTTCCTTTAAATGAATATAGTTCTTTTTGTATACTTTGATATCATTGTTGTTGTTAATGTAGTTTTGTACTTGTTGTCAGCTGGAATTTGTATGTTGGAATTTTGAAAATGAAAACTTGAAACTTGAAACTTGAAACAAAGCCAGCAACATAACCTTTCGCTTCTGTTTTTTCCCATATCAAGTTTATCGTGACTAGCCTCTGAATTCTTAGGTACTCAGGGCTGATTGCATTTGTTTTGAAAATGTCCCCATTTTCCACAGTTCCAGCACTGAATGTTATTTCTACGAAATTTTGAGGGCTGAGAATTTTCTTCCCATGTATCAGTAATTTTTTGCCAAGATTCTGGGCCCAAATTCTGTGGAGGCTTGCAGGTTTCTGAGCTGAAGAGCAATTATGCGTTTTTGGTCTTGCATTATTCTTCTCATGCCTTCTAGCAGCTCTGAAAAGTCACTGTTAGTGGAGCGGGGTTCTTCGGCATTTTTTGAATCGATGGCAAGAACTTTGCTTTTGCCCTTTTACGAAATTATGTGTGAGCTTTCTGATATCCCATATCAAGAAGCCCCGTATGCCAGGGCGAAATATTAGCCTTTACTGATTTACGTGTATTTATTTTTTTGTGTTCTCAGCGTATTGCAGTGTTTCTTATTTGCTAAATTATTATAGACTTTTTGCCACAAGAACTCCTTGGAGCCCATCGAGCAGCCTGCTACAGTGACCTTTTCTTCATTCACACATTGTTTCGAAAGTTGGCTTTAAACCTTTGACAAAATATTCGAGGGACTTTTCCCTTAAGAATTCGCGAGATTTTGTGCTCCATCCCCATTGCACTAAATTACAGATATCTTCATAAAAATCTGCCACAGATTCGTGAAATTTTTGGTATCTTTCACCCACCAGATTTCTTTATTGTAGCCTTTGCAAAGGTGAATTAAAATGACCCTCAATTTCCTTCTGCAAAAGATTAGCATCATTCTTTTTTCAAGCGACAAAATACGATAAAATTGACTTGCTCAACCCAAAAGATAAAGTAGAAGCATTACCTGTTCCTCATCATGGGTCCAGCCATTTGCAGCAGTAGCTTGATTCCAGCTGTCAAGCCACTAGGATAGGAATCTGATTTTTTGTTCTGTGACAACAATAGGATTCAGTGACAGATTTATAAGGATTCTTAGCTGGAAATACGAGTTTTATGAGAATTTTCAGCAACTGCATTATCAAGCCTCAAGTCAAGCGGGTGAGACAGTGTTTTTTATTTGTTTTAAACAATTTATAATTTTGTTTTCATGATGGAATTGGGCCTTCGTTGCTAATAATCACATCCTCATGATTCTGTTTGCATGTGTTTCGCCTCCTGCTTCTACTGGTGAGTCACCCTTCTACTTCCAGTTGTGAGCTTCATTTGCCTGTAGATGCTGCATTGTTATTGTCATCCGCTCATCTTTCATCATCTGTCGCTGAGGATAGTGCAGGCATACTTACAAATTTGGAGAATGCACAGTGTATGGTTTCTCCTAAAACGCAGTTGGCTCAACAGAAAATGAAAATGTTACAATTATTACAATCGAAATAGTCAACCAGTTGTTTACGATATCCGAGACAAAGTAGAGGTGTTTACCCTGAAAAGCAAATATCAAAAAAATTATCGCATAACTATCACGGTCCGTACCGTATTGTCGCGAAGCTTTCTCCAGTTCACCTTCGCTTTCGAACTCTAGATAACTGTCCAGTATCTGTTCCAGGTCATGCAAATAGACTAAAGCCATATTATGATCCGAATTATCGTCCAATCAAGCCACCCGCCGATTTTGACAATTTTAGCGATCTCACTGACAATGATTTGCCTTCCGATAGTTTTGATAATGGTCTGATACCAGAAGAACCTTCTATGTTGCTGTTAAGGACTACGTTGCTCTCCCAAACCAGGAGGTTTGAACTTAAAGGGCTTATTAAACCAAATTTTCGATAGCTATTTTATTAGCTACACTCATAGATTCAAAGGTTCTCACTCTAAATAAAAAAAACAGAATTTCAAAAGTCCTTGGCGTTTCTTTTTTATTGCGTGTGAAAAACGACACATTACGCATATTCATTGCAAAATCGGAAGTCCTCTTGTGACGTCACAGTGACGAGTCATGATATATGAATGAATAGGTCACGCATTCATTCATGGCTATAGTAGTAGAAGTAGCATGGCAAATTCGAAGCGCTCTTCAGGTTATGGTCGATCCTGCGTTGCTGGAACATTTGATGGGACCAGTTGCAAGAATACACAGTTCACAGAGGGTATCTCGCTCCATTATTTTCCCGATAGAACTGTAGACAGAACAAGACATCAGCAATGTGTGAGATTTGTTCACCGGCACAGACAAGGTTTCAAACCATCAAAATATGTGATCAGAATACGTGAATTTTTAAATAGAAAAGGGTGATTATAATTAGGCAGAAGCCTAGTTGATATTATATGTGTGTCATATTTAGAAAGAAGACTAGCCGTTATTTTCTCAAAAAGCAACTCACTTTATTGTCTTCAATCCACCAGATTTTACGAACGACCCTTGACAAAATGGAGCAACAAGATGAAAGTACTGACGATGAAGAAGTCCGCGAAGACTCCAAACTAGACCCTCCAGTTGAAGTTCAAACTCTCAAAGAGAAAATAATTTCCCTTCAAAGGACCAACTGGGCAATTCGGAAAGAGAAAGCTGCATTACGTTGTCAACTTGATCAAGTAAGTATGATAACATAACCACCGACCTCTTTTTTGACCTTATCGATGTACAGGGGCGTTGCAAGTAGGATTTTTTAAGAAGGGAGGGGGATGTTGCAGACCATTCCCCCTGGATACACCTAGACTGCTTTATTTTACGTTGAAAATACAACGTTATCCAAATCATCTTACAAAAAAAGCCTAGGATGTTTTAAAATGTGTGGGTCTCATGAGATCTAGAGGGCTCAGCCCTGTCTCACCTTCTTTCTACCTGAATAAACTCAACAGCCTTGTGTTTAGCCAATTTTTAGGTGAGTGTTATTAAGGTGAGTATTTTTCATATGCAGGCTCGTTCAAATAAAGAATGTACAGAAAAGGACAACCAACCAAGCTGCAGTAGGAAAAGGACAGTTTCGGAGACGAGCAGTGTTCAAGATGAACTTTTAGAGATGGGTGAATTCAAGAGTATCGAGTATGAGGATACTGATTGGGTGTCCTGTGAAGAAATTGCGGAGACATTTGAGGATGAGGAAATGGAGGATGTAAGGTATGTAAATAATGTATCTAAAACACTGTAAGTTTTGTAAATAATGGCAAAACATGTTTTATATATGGTAGTGTTTGTCACTCTAGTTCATGTTTGCATATATAGTGGTCCAGGGGGCAACTGCCAAACAGTTTTGATGGCAAATTCATATTCTAGATAGAAAAATATAACCAATATGCTCATGAAAGCTAGTTAAATGGGTCAGATTAAAATTCCATAAGTCTGAATTATGGTAAGGATGTTGATTTTAATATCTTGTTGACCTGTATTTTACAAATTGTTTTGATTTTGTATTTATTTATTCTAGTATTTGCACCTGGTACAAAGATAAAACAAAATTTATAGTGTTTTTTGGCATGCTACTCAATTTGTTTCAGATGTTCTGCTACCATTGCAGAGCTCCAAATCCAAAAGTTACAATTAAACGGAATGGAACCATGGCTACTGTCATTCAGAAATGCTCACATTGTGGCCAACAGTTTACATGGAAAAGTCAGCCATTCATACATCAAAGACATTCTGCTGGAAATTTGATGATGAACATCAACCAGGTGTTCGTCATCTTATGCTCAGCAATATCACCAAGATCCTATTTTCTCCATAAGCGAAAATTTTTGTTTCCCTCAGTTTTTATGCATTGGCACAAGTATAGAGCTGCCCTGATCAACAAACTAAAATACACAAAGAATTCTCAGTGGTCAGGAGATGGCAGGTTTGATTCGATGGGCCATAATGCCAAGTATTGTGTTTACACAATATTTTCAAATTCCATTTCAAAGCTTGTACACTTTGAATTGTTGCAGGTATCATAATATGCTTTTTTCAAATTAAATTGAGTAATATAGTCATAATAAAGAGTTATAGCGAACAACTGCATTTAGAACATCAATGTGTTGCTGCTGACATGTGTGCCAATATTTTATTAACATTAAATATTATATACATTTCTGTATCTGTATTTCCAGAAATGTATTATAATTTACAGAATTTTCCTTTTATTTGCAGTCAAATCAAGCTGTAAGCAGTAATTCCATCGAACTGAGTGCTGCTAAATTGTGCTTTCAGTTTTTCAATGATTGTGGTTTGCATGTCTCAAATTTTGTAAGCGACTGGCACAGAGGCATTGCAAAGTGGATAAGAGAGAAACAGCCAGGCACAAAGCATTTCCACAATCTCTGGCATATCGTCAAAGGAGTTTCAAAAAAGGTTCTACAAGCCAGTAAGGAGAAAGGAAATGAAAAACTTCAGGGTTGGCTAAAAAGTATACGGAGTCATCTATACTGGTGTGCTGTGTCAACAAAGCAGGGCTTTGGAGAAATGATTGCTGCCAAATAGAAGTCGTTGATGCGACACATTTCAAATAAACATACTGACCACCCAGATCAGCTTTTTGACAAATGCGCTCATGGCCAACTCCAGGGACGAGAGTGGCTCAAGACAGGTAACCTCGCAGTATCGATACCCTCTGAAGCTTATATATTATGCTTGTTCTTTATATTCACATTCACACAAATGTATGTTATGGTGAACATGAATGGTGCTTTTGATGTCATAAACTGGGGTGCGATCTCAACCAAGTGCATTATTTATATATATATTGAGATTTTTCTTTATCCCACTAAGGTTATATTCAGGGTTCTGGGAAGATTTCAACATTTTCCTTATTCCCAATATAGTTTAATTTGTGTCCCCCTGTTTCAAATTTGATTGATTGTAAAGGTTGGAACATAATAATGAATGAATCTTACTATACTGTATTCACTTGTTGCTGCCGTATCTTCTTGTCCTAAAGGCACATTTTGTTAATTATCCAAATTCAATTAGTAAATAAATTGTAATACCCAGTTATTATTATTCTAAAGGATCTGCAGCACATGAAAGGTTACACACCATACTTATGAATGCAAATCTATTGAACGATATAAAGATGGCCTCGTCAGATGCTCAAACAAGTTGTTTGGAGAGCTTTCACTCAACTTAAATCATTGACATCCCAAAATGACTATTGAATCTCATGGCTTGGTACTTTCTGTAGGTAAGTAGCACAACAAATTGCTTGGCATAGCATACTTAGGCATACTTAGGAAATCAGATCAAATTAACTTTGGCTATATACAAGATGAGTCATTATGTAGTTTTGTTTGTATCCCAAAGTTCCTAAATTAATCAACTGTTTATGTAAGGGCATATTGCATTGTAGTGAAACTTATCATCCTTTATCTATCACATGCTCATGTTTTATCTTTTGTTCAAGGCATATTTTGGCGATACTCCATTTCAACGAAAACCTTCGCCGTGAGAAAAAAAACCAAAGATGGAGCAACATATACAAGTGTAACATATCCAAAATATAAATTTGGTGAAGAATTAGTTCGAGAAATTGCAGTTCCTCCAACATATGGTAATTATAGTAATTATAAAGGTGTCTTTGAAAAAGATATTGTCACTGACTTTTAGAATTAACATAGCAAAGATTCTTTGATTATGAAGAGTATGTCTATTCAGTAATAAAGTTTCAAAGTGCTACTGACATGAACAATGAAAAAAAATAAAAAAACATTTGTATTGCCTGATCCTATCAAGATAAGAGCGCTGAATCGAATGGTGTAATTTTTTCTTGCATATCTTTTCTTTAATGCACTTATTTCAAGCTCCAAAGTACGGGTTTTCGTTAGTTTTTGTTCAAATAAATTAACAGTTGCATTCCCGAAAGATGAAAAACAGCGTCGATTATGGGTACAATTTGTAAGAAGACACAGGGCTGGTTTCACTCCGTCGTCTTCGTCCGCTCTGGGTTCTATTCATTTCAAACCTATTGATTTTGTAAGACGCGTAGACATCACTCTGGAAAGTACTTCTACTGGCATTACCAGACACCGCAGACTTGAAATTGGTGCTGTTCCTTCAATTGATTGGCAGGAAGCGCTCCCGAATCACTTCCCTCAAAGCGTCAGCAAAGGCACCTCAAGAGAGACACCACTGTTCTCTACTGTAAATGGGGGTTGTAATTATCCACCCCTCAATTTTGCAAAAATACATATGGTCAACATAACTTTTTTTAAAATTGAAGAAAAGTTGTTGAGGGGTAGGGCGTACACACACTTTCTATTATTTACGAATAAAAGAATAGCAGACAGTGCATGACAGTAGACAGTGACTCATTATATATTTTCCCAGTGACACAAACAAGGGTTGTTAATGCTTACAAAAAATTTCAATAAGGAAGTTCCCTGCTTGATTTGTTATAGAAGCCAAACAATACAATTTTGTGTAAAGTTGTCTCTTAAAGACGGTGTTTTGCATGACCGCCATGGAAGGCTTTTGCGTGTCTGCAGGAAAAATTATAAAATGCTGTTGCTGTCTAATAATCAAAACATCATGTGTACGGAAATAGGGTTGTCTTTGCACCTTTACTGATTCAACCTTTAGAAAAAACTTAGAGGGGATTTCACCTGAGACATAGATATTTCGGTCTGTGTTACAATTAGAGACTCGGCACGGTGCTAAGGGGTGTGTGTGTAACTTTATATAGCGATACACCAATTTTTCGATGGCTAGACAACCATGCTCTATGAATTTATAGACTGCTGCTTTAGAAATTCATCCAATTGATCATCGACCAAAAGCTGCACAAAAAACACAAGATGAAGCTGCATATGGGGATATCTCTATTCGGTCGGACAAAGACATGCCCATATCGGTGATTGCTCACGAAGAGTATCCACCTAACGACAACAAACCTTGTCAAAAAGTGGCATTCTTTCAAAAGTTGTTGTACTACCAAAAGGACAACAGCCCACTAAAGAAAGACCTTCAAAAACCGAAGTAAAAGTGACAGCTTTAATTAAAATATTTATAAGGGATATGTAGAATAGGGAAATGTATAAAATTGTTGCATTCGAAAGAAAAATATGTTACATTCGAAAAATTTAAAGTTAAAAAAAAGGGACCCATGGTGGCATACAAAAATAAAAGGGAGACGGTTTGGCAATTGTTTGGAACTTGGGAGGGCCATTGCTATGTTTCGGAAAATGCTCAACTTTTGTGCCATTCTAGGTTATTGTCAAAGGATGCACTTTAATACCTCTGCATTCCAACAGTGCCTTGCTATAAAAAATTATCGAGACTGTTGTTGACTCAGAGTCAGATTTCTCTGAAACTGAAGAAAAGGATAATACAACCAATTTGGAGAGCAGCGACGGAGATGAGACTGAAGACATGCTGGATGTCTGGGAGAACAAAGTAAATCTTGATGATGATGATGATGATGATGATGATGATTATGATGATGACACAATGATGTTCTTTCTGATGGAAGTGAACCAGTATGTATTGAAAAAGCGGATCCACGAAAAAACAGACAAAGGAAAACAAACTCATCTGCCAGCAGAGTGAAGTGAGTTCAAATTGAAACATGCACTTTACAGTTTAGATGAAATGTTTTTGATTTTGAACAATGAAAAGTTTTTTGCTGCATACATTTGAAATAGACTATGGAAAAGAGTGGTGGCACCATATGATGATATGGGGGAAGTAATAATCCCAAGGGAATGCAAGATTTGCCACCGGAAAACGCACCTACTGTTTAAAGGCCGGTTTACACGATAATTGACTGCTAATTGAACGTCATAGATTTTTCATTTGACCACCGATCAAATGGAAAAGTCTTTGATGCAATTTCTTCAAAGGCGCCGACAAGTCTTTGCTGTCCTGGGTTGATCGGGAAGTTTTTTAAATTGACCCTTGATCATGCTATTGATTTTCCCAGAATGAATAATTTCTATTAGCCTTAGAGTCTCAGTGAATAATTTGAATGATTTCGTATATGCAACATAAAATGTTAAAGTGCCAACGCAATGAGGAAAATCACCCCCTTATCAAGTTTAATTTGAAGAGACTATTCTTGTTAAATAATGGTATGAAAGTTTAAATTTGTATTTGGGGGCGGGAAGCTGCTTTTTTGGGGGTTCGAAATGGGAGAGGTCGGATGACAAGGGTTTGGGGCGAGTGGCAATGTTTGAAGTCGCCGGGTTGAGTCACACAGTTGATGCAGAGAAACAGGCATTGTCAACACGCGATTTCAAGCAGGTTTGGCAGAGGAAAACATTTCATAAATACACTATATAATGTCTAACGAGCAAGGAAGTTCTTCAAGGTCAAGCGGGAGAAGCCTTTCTTTATCTGATCATGAGGACTTAGGCGTGATCTCAACAAACATAGAGCCATACATCGACGACCCTTTGTCATCTGATGATGACGATGATATGTATGGTGAAGGAGCGCCCCTTGCATGAGAGGGCGACAAAGATGGTCTAACGCTAGCATCGTTAGAAGCAAGATTTCTTAGAAGAGAGCCTGTTGAGAACTGGTGAGTATCCTCTAGCTTTAACTGAAAGCTTTAGCGGACTGATTAACCAGTTTTTAAGATAACCTGCTATCAAAACATATTTGTGCTAAGCCTAGGCCGCTCGACAATAAATAGGTGTGGGTTTGACCGATAATTATTTGGATTTTATTAGGCCCATGCCATGGATACCTGTCTAGCAAGACATCAAAAGTGTCACTTTTATAGTAGAGACAAACTGATATTTTGACATTGCAAACGGGGAGTGGGGGTAGAAATCAGAATCACAATGGCTAAAAGTGGTACAATTTTGTGATTCTTGCCTCTACATATGTATTTTGGCCATTGTTGTGGTAGGTCCTTGCCTTATTTGCCAGAAATAATAGGCTTTAGACCAAAGAAACAGCCTATGCCTTTCATAGGCAACTATGATGGCAATTGTTCCACATGCTTAATTTATTTGCAAAGTGCATCATTTTCAAATAACTCTGTGATCACAATGGGTAATGATCCGGTGCTGTTTGATACCATTGGAATTTGGATTTACTTTCATCTTTCACAATCTTATTTGATATATGTTACGTTGTGTTACAGGTGCATGTGCCATAAGTGTTCCATTGCAGAATTGGCAGGATCTAGAGAGTATCGCTGCTGTTGGGAAATTTTATCAGCCCATGGAAAACTCACTTTTGATGGGAGCATTGACAGGATCAAATGTGTCACTCAGCATGATGACTTTGTGGCACTTACAAACACAACTGTTTTAAAACAAGTAGCACCACTGTTGAAGTGCAGAGATGGTAAAAGTTACAGAAAGAAGAAAGACGCTACTGTGTAGACAAAAGGAGTTCGTTTTCACCTTAGGACTCCATTGGTAACATTCTAATGGGCAAGCGGCACTGATTGGTCAACCTTTACAGTCATGTGCTCGTGTTTCTGATTGGCCTATTTTGATCCACAACTGGGTATATATATTTCTTAGCGTAGAGTTTTCGATCTATGTTCTGACGTTTTAAACTCTAAAGAGTGTCAGACGAAAAGCTTTAGTTTACTAAATGTTTGCTTTTTTCAAAGCTATTTACAAATTATGAAAGTCTGACTTGCACAAGTTTGACTGTCTAGCAAAAAATATCAGAAAAACATCAGAAAAAAGAAGTTGGGCATAATTTCTGGAAAGGTCCATTACATATCTCCATAGTCTTCTTGAATGTCTACTATAAAAATTGTGATCAGGCTTTTGTGGCATGAAAAAAAGTGATCCTAAATATGGTCAACCAGACAAACATTTTGTAAGAAATATCTGACATTCTGAAAGGTATCAGTAGCTATAGTGGCAAAACTTACATGGGGGAAACAAATCTGTTTGCATGACTTTCCTTGCGTTCCATTTAGCAATTGCCTCTTCACGTGAGTTTTTCTCAGTAAACTTTCTGTTCAGGGGCTCTGGGACTTTTGCTGTATACTCTGCCATTCTAGTGGCCATTGCTTCAATATCCTCTTTTGATAACGAAAAAAGGATGCCTCTCATCTCCTCAACATATCCTAAAATAAAAAAAATTCAGCTGAAGTTATAATATGTTTTGCTGTATAGTACATATGTTATTTCATGTAATCATCAGTTTATGAAAATACAGTTTGAACAGTCATGCCAAAAGAAAGCTTTTGATGTTCCACAAATTATGGAATGAATAGTACTTCAAATACATCAATATTTGATTGGAGACCATTTCTGCTACAGTAAGAAGGTTCATTACAACAGAAGTTCCAAGAATGGATCAAAAATCTTTTACAGTTACTTCAGTCAGCTTTTTGGCACATTAAAACTGTATTTGGTCGATGCAGTTGTTGTATGCAAGGCCTATGATGTACAAAAGTGCAACAAAAACCATATGCCTCACCATATGTTGGAGGGACTGCTATTGCTCTAACAACCTCATCTCCAAGTTTGAATTTGGGGTATGTGATGTGGTATGAAACCTCTCCCTGTTTTGTTCTTCTTTTCTCCCTCTTGACATTTTCATTAAAATGCAGTATGGCTAGAATTGTCCTATGAAAAGAGTGTTTGATAAATAGAATTGCAATGTTGACAAAGGTACTATGCCACCATCTGGCACATAACAGATTACCAAGGCTGTAGTGGCTTTTTTGCAGGCTCTTGAAAAAGTATTTGATTTGGAACAATAGAAAATGCCACGTTGGAGACTTTCAAAGGGCATGCTAGTGCATTATAAAAGGGCATGTCATATCTGTATTCACACTGAAAGCATAAAGATGGTTCTATAAGGTCCCATGCTTTACCTGTATTCCTTGCCTTCTTTTTGAGTTTTTTCATTAAGGAAATTTTTCAATTTTTTGAATTTTCCAATTTTCTTGAGTGCTGACATAAATTGCTCCTTACCTACACACTGTTCCAAGGTATGAATACGCAATCATTTTTGGATGCCAGTAATTTAGTAATGAGTGAAAGCCTTCCAGACTGCTTGTTTGCACATCAGGTGACAACCTAGACATATCACCAAGTAAGGTTCCATGCAAACCAATGGCACATAGTTTGTCATAAGGTTCTGAACCTTTGAAGAAGAAGGAAATATTTATGGAGAATAATATGTATTTTCTAATGTGAATATAAAAAGTATGAGGAATCTGATTTACATCCTAAGTAGAAAATCAAAATGTAATATGTTGTTATAACTGTTTCCTTGTTGTGATTGCTTCTTCAATTACTGCTAGATTTCCTGAAAGTTAAAAGTTGGACAAATTTAACTTACCAATTTTGATCCATTTCCTTTTGCCAAGTTCTCCATGAGAACATTTGGTGGATAATTCGTTGGGGTGCCCTTTATGGTAGAAAAAATACTTCCATTTTGCAACTACTAGCTCTCCAAATCCTTCTTTGGTTGAAGTACAACACCAGTAGATGTGACGACGCATGCTTTTTATCCATTTTCCTAAAACTTCGAATCCATTTTGCTTGTGCTTGCTGCTAAAACCTTTTTACACACAGACTTTGCAACATGCCAAATATCATACAGATGGGTTGTTTCTTTCTGTGTTTCACGTATCCATTTCGCTATTCCTAAATGGCGATCAGATACAAATTTCTTTATAACTATGCCATCTTTTTTCAAATTCTCAAAGCATCTCTTCGCTCCCAACAACTCCATTCCGTTGCTGCTACCTGCCTCGTTTGCCTGTTGAAAAGAAATGCATCAAATGAGTTTACTTCTCAACACATTGTAGGCTATTTCATGACGTAGAATAATACAAAAAAACACGAAAAATTTATTTATTTATTTATTTACATATTTATTTGACATAAGGTGTTTTATCTAGAATATTTGCTGAATTATCTAATTAAAATCCAGGAAAACTAAACATTTTCCTTAATTTTAACGTAAATAATGAAGCTTTAATGTAAAAGAAACAAAAATAACATAACAAATCTTCTACAGGAGACTTCCTTTTTGTAATTCACTCAGAAGATTTCTCAATTTCTTTTGTAGAATAGCTGAAGGCCTATACATTTGCGCAAATTCTCAGGAATAAAATTATCCACAAAACTGCAATATGATTATGTAGATAACATCTTAACATCTAGAGACCTTCAATTAAAACCCTGGTGGGGAAGAAAAATGATGAAAGGGGGTATTGGGAAAAATTATAGATTCTTGCGTAAAATATTTACCCCCTGCAAATTCTTCACCAGTCAGAGACAATATTGCGATATACAGTTTAAACTCTTCTCTTTTCGCTAAGAAACTGCTTTTGAGAAAGGCTCAGTTCTGTAAGGATCAATTTCATTTCATTTTTATTTCATCAATACTTGCTTAAAGAAACTTGTTATAATTTGGTAGCTACAACTGTAATGTATTTATTCTATGTTCATAAAAACGTCTGACATTACCTGGATGAGCTCAAAATGCACAATCTTCAATATTGTTGGGCAAAGCATGGAGTAAAGACCAAATTTTGCACTGTGGCCCATTCAGTCGAAATGACCATCTCCTGCCCATGAAATGTTTCTTTTACATTTCAGTCCCTTGATTAGTTTTTCTCTGTATGAATTCCAAAAGGAGAGAATCTGAGGAAAAAGGAACTTCTTCTGATGGTAAAGGTTATTACTGATAAACCCATATGCTTGCAGACTAACAAGAAACGGCTTATTTTGGCTCCAGCCATCAACATTGCGAAACTCATAAGTATGTTTCCAGCAGGGTATCGATTGAAGATCATTGGCTGGCTTTTCCACTGAAATGACCTACCACAGTCCTTGCAGGTCTGAGTCACAACAACCATTGTCCCATTCTCTCTTATCTTTACAGAGGGTTTTCCAGATTTGCAGATAAAACAAAACATGCTAAATAACTTTAACAGCATTGACTGAAATATAATATATTTCTTTTCATACTGTTGGTTGCTTTTTCTTATCATCGCTGAAAAATACAAATGGATATCAGTAAGTACTTTACACATATTATATGTACAGAATAGTATGACCTATTTCAAACCTATCAGAACTGTCAATTCAAAAGAAATTCATGCACTTTTGAAAATAAAATGCAGATATTGGGGCACATTACTACTGTATATGTTACTATGATCAAACAACCCACCTTTTGCATTCCTGTGAATTTTGTGCAACATCTTCCTTGTCATCATCATCACCATCATCATCATCAGTCAAGTTTTCCATTGTTTCCCAGTCATCATCACTATCACTGACACTTTCATCTGTTTCCTCTTCATCAGATGAAACATGCTGGTCTTCTTCAGGCGTTATATTTGGTTGGTTTACTTGTTCATCCACGCAAATAACATCCCGTGGAAAACAACATTTACCATTTTTCATATTGACAAGTTACAAGCAGGCATCCATTACGAACAGTGCATGATCATGCCCACATATACAGAACGATGAGGTTAAATGTCAGACATATGCTACTGTACAGTATGTCCGTGAAAACTTAGAGAGTAGCTGATGCGAATTTTTCAAAAATCGTGCAATGTGCAATTTCACACAATAGCTTTAATTACAAATAGGTATGTGGGTAGCAGGAATGATTTTTTAAGTAGACCTTATTTGCAAGTTTAATATGCTAGCATATACAGAAAAAATGTGACCAACTTACATGTCTCTTTTTGTGAAATTTTCTCCTCAAGTTTGAGACGATCTTCTGACAGTTATGTAGCCTCTTTTTCAAATTTGTGCAATTTTTTTGTCAAATTTTTTCAAAAAATGCAGGGTGATTTCATCAGACATGCCTGTGCATTTGTCATTCTTGTTATTTGATTCTACCACTTCTCTTGAGCTGCTGACACCAACCTCTTCTTCAAGTAAGTTATCAGTTCCTATTTGTATCTCATCTGCCACAAGAGGTTGCAGTTTCACAGAACATAGAGCAAAAATGTTTGCAGCCGCTGTGCAAAGAGCTTTTGCGCCTGCAAGCTGCGGCCAAATGGCGACGCGCAAAATTTTTCCCGCCAACCGACCATGTGACACTTTGATTCCGATCCAGGCCTCCTGGGAGGTGCAATGTTATAGGGTTTTGTGTCACCACAACCACAAAAGACCTGAGCATGGCGGAGTGAACTTAAAGCCTGATCGGCTCATTTTATATACAAAATTTTACCATGTGAGTATGCCTCAAATATTGTCAGTTCCACGGAGAAAAAGTTCAAAATTCAAATTTATTTTATCTCAAAAACGGCACCATGCCACACGCTGATTTTTTTATTGATTCATCTTCATGCCCCGAAAAATAAGATTATATTGGTTGGCATATTTGGAAAATTGGGTCACGTTCATAATTTCACCGCAAAGATACCTAACTTTAGGATTGTCAATTTATGGGTGCGATTGAATGATGATTTAAAACCGCCATACTTTTTGGGATATGCGGTATATTCATGGAAGTTTTTCATTAAAATAGATTGGTCACGAATGTAAGTAGCTGTTTTTAACGCGATTTTGAAATCGCTTCGGTATTTTTCTATAAGAGTAGGAAACCAAACAAAAGCGAAATTTTGAAAGGTCAACATGGGACGTTTTGTTCGATATTTGAATTAACGATCGTGAAAAATTTCCACCATGCCGCATCCTGAATTTTTGTATACTTGTAGTCAAAAGTTCAATTTTTTTGTATATTGTCTCCTTCAGAGGCGGAAAATTGGGTAACGCTTGAAAATTTACTTTTTAAATTGTTCATATTTCCCTTCTTGCCTAATAGTAGGCCTAGGCATAGGATACTTTAGTTTGGCAGTAAAGCATAGGCCACGAAGAGATTAATAAGGTTTTAAAGCCATAATTTAATGATATAAATGTATCTTAAGTAGATAATTTATCTATTTGACTCCATAAAAATAAAGCAGAGGTAAGGTTAAAATTCAAAGTTTGTTTTCTCATATATTTTTATATCAATCGCATCCGGGACAGAACGACACAATTTTCGCGGGCAGGTAAATCACGTCAGCATGCGCGCGCATAAAAAACATTTTTGCACTATGTTGTTTCACAGGGCTTTTCTGGTGCAACAGGTTTCGAATGGTCTATGTGGAGTTAAAAAAGGAAACTGGCATGAGTAATGAAAACTATTATATCAAACAAGAGTTGAAAAAATAAAAAAATATGGTGTACCCTGACATAAGTTAAAACTGTTGCACAAGGTCCAGATGATGCTGGAGGACAGATTTCATAAATAAACATCATTAAAATTGAGAGGGATAGTAGCACAACATTTGCCATTTGATGGACTCTGCATTCTCCAATTGAGTCCTTGGGCTTGAGCATGAATAAGATCAGAGATGTGGGAACCAGGAGGCACATGCCCCCCTCCCCCAATTTTGCAACCAACAAGAAAGTGCCCTTTTTTATTTTCAGGAAGTGCCCTGGACTTGCAACAACTGTCTCTCTTTTTAGTTCAAGTAGTCTGAAAAAAGCCCCCTTCAGCAATGAAAAAGTGTTATGCCCCCCAGGTTTGAGATGTTTTCCTTGATAAAGATACAGTATACATATAAGACTTTCAAGTAAATACTGTTACTCTTCACGTTTACATCACTTTTTACAAACAGCATGTTAAAATTATCCAAGCTCTTTGTGATATCATTGTCTGCTGTTCTGCACTGTTTCCTAAAAATGATTTTTTCTGTACTAAGAAAAACACAAGGAATCCCAACTTAGGCCGATGGCTACCTTCAAAGCTATCTTATCAGCAGGGGCAACTTCAAAAAAAAATTTCTTAAGAAAAGAATGAGTTCCGACTATACCTGTCTTCGTTCTCTTGGGGTCGATATTTTCTTCTCCTCAAAACTATCACCGATAACTTTTCGTTTTTGGACTTGAGGGGCATTGTCAATCGTTGGCACTGCACCAGGTTCTAGCTTTCTTTGCCTAGGAATGTTGTTTCTTTGTGGGCTATTTTCTGCAACCAAGATGTCTGGACGTCTAAAGTAGCACGTTGGCTCAAAGTGCCCCGAGCAAAGATGAGACAATGTGGTTGGAGTGAAGTCTTTTCTGTGTCTTCGCACAAAGTTTGTCCACAATTTCTGCACAGTCTTGTCGTTAGGAAACTTGTGCATGTTGACATTTGGGCTGAAACTACTATTCTTGCACGACCTTTTCCCAGGCAAACCAGCAACGCAGTATTTCCCTCCCCCTTTCTTCTTTTTATTCTGGCCATCTCGTGATTTCTTCGGGCTCGGCTTCATGTCTTCATTCGCATCAATTTATTTTGTTTCCCGGCAAAGGCAGTGCAAGAGTTCCAAATAGAAAGTTTTCAAAATTTCATTGCACTGGCACTTTAAACATAAATGCAAGTACATGAGGTGTGACCATAGGTGAGGTCATAGGTGTGGCATCTAAAAGTTGACTTCAGCATAGCCTTCCTTCGTAACTTTTCAAAACCAGCTGTTCTTACTTCCAGAAGCTTGAGAATTTGCTTCAGAAACGTTGTTTTAGGGATTTATGTGATTCATTCCATAGAAATTCATTCCAAATCCACTGGCGCCCCCACTCATTGAAGCCCTTATTGAGCACTTTGACACTGACAAAACAGATTTTGTTAATAAGGTGAGAGTGACAGCAGAACAAATTGCCTGGCTTTCCAATGCCATGATTGGACAAAGAAATAATGAATTGTGGGGGCAATATCGGAAGCTGCAGCTTACAGGCAGTAACTTTGGGGATGTCATTAAGGCATATAAAAGGAAATTCGAGAGCAGCAAACCAATTCCTCCTTCACTTTTGAAACAACTAAGGGGTGAATATGCAATGGGCAAAAGAGACTCAATAATGTGGGGGCAGATGCACCAGGAAACTGCATTGAAAAGATATATTAATGAAACAGGCAATGTAGTGGAGCAGTGTGGGCTCCTTTTGTTTCCTTGTGGCTTTCTAGGCAGTAGCCCAGATGGAATAATCTCTGAGCAAGATGGTTTGGCTGCAAACGGTAGGGGAGTGCTAGAAGTCAAGTTTTCTTAACATTTATTCATGTATTGTAACAAGTAAGTTTATTAATTCCTTGTAGATGTTTATAACAAGACTCTTCTAAACAAGTTGTTTAGAGCTTAGTAAATGGAGCACTCAAATCTTTCTAAAAAGTCATATCAATCAAAGCAGACATAAATAAATGGTTAATTAACTTTTATTATTTATCAAACAATTTAAGTTCTTCCTTTGATTACAGTCAGGCTTTTCATTTTATTTTAATCAAATGCAATCAGTATTTGTTTTTTTCTAATTCCTGAGTTAATTGTTGAGTTTCAACCATTGTAAAACCTATAAGAATATGTAACCTTTCTTGCAGTTCATAATAAAGAAGTTTTCTTTCATGCATTGTTGTATCTTCAGTTGATGCAAATGTATAACAATAAGCTTGAAAAAACAGCATCTTATTTGTCAGGCAGTTGCCAGTCTGCATACAATCTGTTACAATAATCTAAAAAAACAAACAATTAATGCAGATGATAACTTAGAATATTGAAGAAGGGATTGATCTCAATTATCAGCTTTATTGTTTGGACTTTTCTTACCTTAGTAAAGAGAGGACCTCTTTGTCTGAATTTTTTTAGACTGAAGGAACTTTTCATTAATATTTAGAACTGGATGTAGATAATATCATACAATATCAATCTTTGAAACAAGGGGGTGGCATTGCTTTGCCTGAATTTTGATGGGATATGTTAAAAATTGAAATAAGTTGCAATATTGTAGATATCATTAAAACATCTGCAGATATTATGATGTGATTTATAAAAATGCGAGATAATATATGTATGATACAGGCTCTACATACAGACTTAACATACATTTACTTTTCAAAGTGTGTTTCACTTCTTGCATTTTCATTTAATTCTTGAAAAATGCCAGCAATGATAGGTGTTTGCAAATCCACCAAAGCTGCACAGACTTGCACAATTTTGTCTGCAAATGGACACAAATGGGCACCAATATACCGAAGGATCTTGTAGTTTCACAACTTTTCAATTGCCCTCTCTACGTGGATCCTGCAACTGGGAATTTTTCTTGAATATACAGCTTCTTCAACTGTAAATTGTGTTTTGCTATTAAAAAATGCTGGTAGATTTAAAAAAAACATTCTTTGGAAGCAAATCATGGATGACAAATCCCTTGTCTGCAATTATCAAATCTCCAGCCTGAAAAAAATATATAGTAGATTAAGGCATAGAATTACCTACCCAAATGAATGTATAATGCAAAAAACCTGAAAAAATAATCCTTTTGTTTTAACAAAATTGTTTTATGCATCAAGATTTTGATTCCTGGTTGGACTGCATATAGGCCTGAAAAATTGCCTTCAAAAAAACCCCAGCAGTTGGCAATGCAGCACCTTTGTTGTGTATTGAATCAGCAAATGACTGGGGATTCCCTCTTGAAAGCCATGGCTGGTTCAGGTCGCTCAGTAGATTTGAAAACGTGTCGTATATATCATCAACCACCAAGTTGAAAATCATGCACAGTTGTGGAACAGGTCTTCCGAATCGTGAGACTAGGGTCCCATTTGAACAGATCCACATAGATCCGTACCCAAACTGGCTACGATAGGCCTTGCGTTTACTCGGGCATGGTAGGATCTGTATCTTTTCTGGGAGAGATCCATACCATTTACGATTCGAAAGCGAATCCATTTCGATCCTTACCTTCATCGGCGCCATGTAAACGGGAGATAGAGATCTGCAAAGGCACTGCAGTAAAATGAGACTGTTGCTGGGGTCAATGGAGGCTATTTCAATTGTACGCAGCACTCATCATACAACAAAGGAATTACTCTCCCACCCCTTTCCACAGTTGACAGCCTTTCTGAACCCTGTCTTCATTTTGTTTTATTTTCTTTTCACCTTTTCTTTTGTAATTTTTTCTTTATCCAGGCTATTTGGAAAGTCCCCTGTTGCTGTTTCTGGATAGGCCTCAATAAATTTAAGTAGAATGTCTTCATATTTGGACATAACAGTCCCTAATTCTTCTCCATTTTTCATTATAGCAGCATTGTAACCCATAACTACTTTCATCACGAAAGCTGTCTCCTGCTGTCTGTCTGGAAAAAGGTCGAGGCATTGGGCTAACTAGTTCCGAGACCTTCCCAGCTTGTCTCAACCTGTTGTGTCTTGTTTCGTAAACTCTGTAATATAACATTTGATGTTGAGATTCCATATACAATTGTAAGTGTGAAGGAGGGCATTGTTTATGGTGATTAATTTTGATTTAATTTGTAGAAAGAGTTAACATCTAACTAAGGTTGAGAAATCTTAACATCCAGCAATGTTAAAGTACAGAAATGGTGGAAGTTGTCCCATTTAACATGAAGGGTACAATATCCAACAATTACAAGGATTACTGGAAATACAAAGGCTGATCAATCGAATACAAAGGCTAGACGATTTTTGTATGTCCATTTCTTTTTCAAAGAAAATGCTGACATATCTACTACAGTAAGTATTTTTCAATGAATTCAAAGCAAGAAAAATCACTCGTCCACGAAAAATTGTTTATATTCCTTTAAATCCTCCTTTGCATATCGATGTCTATTATTCTGTATTATTCTATTATTCAAGGAACACTCTTTCCTTTTTTGAAGTAAAAAGTCCACAGTATTAAACATGAAGAACGAGAAAGTAAAAGTCATCATACATTTTAGAGGAGATGTAGAAGTAGGTACTCTTCCCATCTCGAATATTATCATTAACAATTAGTACCTATTTGCTTTGCAAAGAATAATTACTTTTTTCTTATTGCCACTTATTTCTATGATACTATGCAAAAGGATCCTAACCTTACGAATTATATCTTTGTAACACTTACAATATTCATCAATGAAATGCATTCAACAGTTTTTCACAAATTCTTTTTAACATAATCTCCCATACAATAATGGCAGTATTCGCCGATTGAAAATGGAAGCTGCAAGGGCATTTGTCCTAAGCAAGAAAATTAAATTCCAAATCATAGACCGTGGTCGGCATCTCATAAGAAAATTAACATACGTTCAGCATTTGCTATAAAAACTCCTTTTCTACAAATCTATTCGTCTTATCACACTTATTCTTTAGCTGTTTTCTTGACATTATTTTGTCTATATTTAACAAAAGTTACCAACGATGAGGTATTTCTGCATCGTAGCAAAGATGAGGAAGCACCCCACTAAGAAACAATGACCCAAAATTGAAGTTCATCAAAAGCAATTATAAGAATGGATTATTTCGATCTTAATGCAATGCAAGCCAACTCTGACACAAAACCATTTAGATTCATACCTCTTAGAGAAATTCCAGGTTATGCCATAAGAAACGCCAATCAGACTAAAAATCCTATCTGTAGTTAGTTCTTTGATTTTAGTTTTGATAGTGTGCTATTTAGTGATAATTTAGTGATCATTCTAAATGATCAGGAATTCTACTCATTGATTCCTTTTGAATTCGTTGTATTTGTGAAGTTTCTGAAACTAACCATTAAACAAATTTAACTGTATCACAGGAGCCTTTCACATTTATAATACATCGAGAAATCTCCAACACATGGCTAAAAATCCTTGTTTTTGAGATTAAACACTGTTTAAAATTGCATTTGACAGCAGCTAAGTCTCAGCTTGTTCTTAATTTGTAATTTTGACAAATTCTGAGTTTCATGTTCTTATAAACCTGTTCTTATAGAAAATGTACTTGCAATTTCAGACTATGAGTGGCTGGAACTAATTCAATTCATGTATACAGTGGTACTTTTTGAGCGGCAGGTTACAAGGTCATTGAAAGCGAGATGTGGGAGAGGGAGCTGGAGCCCCCTAATAATTTTCAAACTGTACTTTATTTCCTTTTAACTAGTGTACTGAATGGGAAGCAATACAATGGGCAGCACCCCCCCCCCCCCAATATGAATTCTGTTACAACAACATTGGGTTATGCTATTCTGTCTGCCACGGAATTTTGTAGTTACTGGTAGTATCAAATTCACCTCCATTATTTTCTCAAACTCTGCACTCTTAAAATACTAACTACACGTCATTCTATTTCTACCATTGTTTAGGCTGACATTACTCCTGACTTATGCTTACTCAATTTCTTGTCTCTTCCTTAATCATGCTTTGTAATCCTTCTTCACCGCTTAATTTTAAAATCGCCATAAGCCTATATATAATCAAGTTCAATGTTGTTAGCTTGTAAGTTGCCATATTCGCCGGAGAAAGGTGTTTAAAAATCCATGACAAGAGCTATAAAACTTTATTGTAACAACATGGAAAATTCCAAGAAGGAAACCCATGCTTCCATCCTTAAATTGAAAACTGACTTTAAATCAAAGGCAAAAGAGAGGGGAAAATACTAGGAAAAGAGAAGACAATATTTAGAGTTAATTGGTCAACCAGCTCAAAGCAATTTGGTAGACCTTGAAGCACCTGCAGGAAGAGAGCTTTTTCTTGCAGCCCCATCTATGAAAAAGCAGAAGACAGCTGCTGGAGTCAGAGACGCGGATCATGACTCATCTTTGCAGCTATTAAAAAGCGATGATCCCAGGGACACATTAGAAGATCTAAGTGAAAATTTTGATGTTTTTGGCATAGAAAGTGGAAGCAAGTTTTCTGATTATCAGATGCTTGACACCATGGAGAATGACAGCACACCGGCTTACAGGCATGAGAAGAGTCTAGCACCTTCATTTTCAGCTACTGCTTCAACATTAATGGGAGATTTCAAAATCGGAAAGGTTAGAACAACTTTTAAGCATTTACTTAAAAGGTTTATTTTCTCACAATTTCCCTTTAATTTGAGTTCTTCTAGAATTTTTTGAGTAAAGAAAATCTTTGATTTCACAGAAGGACAAATTGTGCTATTCGAACCCTTCTATTTCTTTATTGGTACTTCATTCATCTTTTTGTGTTGATGAAATGTCTTGAATCGTTATAAAACAAAGCAGCCAATTATGAAATTATTTTCATTTTAATCTAGTTTCCTCTGTTATGTTAATTTATGATATTATTTCAAAGGTTTGGTGCTGCTGATTTGTTGAGTCTCTATATCTTGGAGTTGACTCAACACAACGAAATAGCATGTTGCAGTGAAAACTTTTCAAATTTCTGCTTACTCAATTTTAATGAGAAAAAGGGTTGCTTAAAGGTAAGGCATTAATTGTCTCTGTTTAAACATGTTACATGCAAAATAAACATCGCTTAGCTTCTTTGGGTGTTCAGATAAAGATTATAAGAGTCTACCCGTATTATTTGATTAAATTAGTGAGATTAAATTAATGTTTGATCAAATCTATTGAATTGACTTTTCGGTAGAAAACCTTACTTCCATTGAATTGATTTATTAAACCCCCTTTTGGGTTAACAGAAGCATGTCATTTTCGAAAAAGCATTTTGTCCTATGGTGCAAATTTTTGAATATCCATGTTAATTTGCATGGCCATGGTCTGTTGTATGGGCTTCTTAGCATTTGGTAGAATGACTAGCATTATAAGGTCTTTTGAGAATTAGCCAAAACAAGTTTAAATTTTCTGAGACCTTAGCTGGTTTAGAAATTATTTGTTTGGCCTGTTATTAAGATACTCCATCAATACTTTGACTGAATATACAAATTATATTAAACAGGTAAATTCCTTTGTATTTACCAAATCGCCCTTTGGTTTGGGGGAGATAAATTATAATGGACATAGGTTTGTTCTTGCGTCAAGGGTCAATTGCAGTTCTTGGAAAATATGATACTCTCGGGCGAAATTTCTTTTCAGGGTAATAATTATAGTTGTACTTGTCAAGCATTTTTAGAATTAATTACAAATTAATGCCAACATGAAAACAAATATGAAAAAAGCGCTCTGATGTTTATGCGTGGCTCATTGGCATGCCAGCTCTCAACGTTTTCATGTTATTCTATTCAATTTTATCAGAACTTTATTCACACTTTCCAGATTCGGTTCCTTCTAATGGAACAGCATTCATGCCAAAGTTTCAAAAGTGATTTTCAAGAAATGCGATTTCTTGAATAACTGCGACCCACTCCAGCACTTTCAATGTAAGTAGTTTTTCAACTTGAATTATATATAACTTTCAAGGTGTATGTTGAAAATACCAGATCATCTTGTAGACCAAAATCAAGAAAAGGTTGCAGAACTTGCCAACGTTATTTTCCAAAGATAATCAGTGAAAATCCATAGTTATTTGGTATTTGAAAATCCATAGTTTATTGCCAAAAATTAGCGGATTTTTTTAAATTTTTACTTAATTTTCATAAATGCTCAAATGTCTTGACACGACGTTTGAAATGCAGCCTTAGAAAATAAAGTATTAACAAGGAATTTTAACCTGTGAAAAGTGGGTCAATAATCTAGATCCACAGGTGTTTTTGCAGTGTCTTTTACAATATAATCAGCCTGGCACCTTAGTAACATTATTTAGATTGTGTCTTCACGTGTCTTTGGCAAGAAAATAACAATTAGCACTGAAAATGTTCGATAGCAGGGAAGACAGTGATTATATTCCTTACGACTTTTATGTGGAAAAGGAAGACAGTAGGAGGAAAGTGGCAGTGGTAACCAAGGTTGAACTGTTAGGCCCACAGCAGCCATGTTGGCTACCCATTGGAAATATTGACGAAGATATTTCACCAAATTTGCCTCCATTTACTGCTGCAAGTGGACCTAAACATATTGCCAGGGAGGAAGCAGACCCCCGCATGTATTTTCAATACTTTGCTACGGATGAATTTTTCAAGACACTGCTTGATTTTAGCATCAAGTACGGAGATCAGATTGTTGCAAAGAAAGAAATTTCAGAAAAGTTTAGGTTCCAGCTCTGGCAAAATATAAAGGCAGAGGCTGACCTAGACACCTATAAGGCATTCTGGGGCCTTTTTTTTAACATGAGCCTTATTCAAAAAGCAAGTTTTGAGGAATATTGGAGGGAAAGTGACTGGTCCCAAGCCACCCCTCAGTTTTCGCAGGTAATGGGTTGTGCCAAGTGGATGATTTGGCTGAGGATGGTGCAAACATTCGATGTCACAGATCCAACTGTTGATAGAACTGATCTAGGTTTCAGGGTTATATACCCTTTGAATCACATGAACAAAATGTTCAAATTTTATTACCAGCCAATCCAAACCTTGACAGTCGATGAAGGTTTATGTGGCTTTTGTGGTAGAGTTCACTTTAGACAGTATATTCCAAATAAGAAGCACCACCAATTTGGGATAAAGATGCAAGAGTTGTGTGACACAACTGGCTATCTATGTAAAGTGCTTTTGTACTGTGGTTTCAAGCAAAAAGTTCCGGCTTGTTTTCATCACAAATATCCAAGTGATCCAAAGAGCATTGTGATGACTTTGGTGAATGACTTGCAACACCAAGGATACCAGCTGACAACTGATAACTGGTACACTTCATTGGTCTTATCTAAACAATTGAAATAAATTGGGATCACACACATTGAGACCATCAAAACAAACCAGGCAGCTGGCTTTCCAAAAGAAGTGGTGAATGTAAAGTTGGAGATTGGAGAAAAGCTTGCATATCGCATGGATGATAATGTTTGTGTTGCAATAAGGGACAAAAGAGTCAGACAAAACAACCCTTGATGCCCTGAACAAAATATTCTAATTTTTATTTTGATGGGATGGTCACAAAGTCAGAGAGGAAAACCATGTAGCTGACAAAAAGTACAAATGTCAGCTAGTTTGGGCTTACAACCATTCTAAATTTGGTGTTGACAAATCAGATGAGATGGTATATTCTTATGAGGTGGAGAGGAGAACCAGACGCTGGCCTGTCAAAATGCTGCTAAGATTGATGCAGAAGGCACTGCTAAATTAATATGTTTTGTATAAGGCATTAGTAGAAAAGCCAATGAAACGCTTACGCTTTTATGTGAAGGTATTTGGGGGACTGATGAATCCAGCAAGAAACAGACGAATCAGGCCTTAGTATTCAAGACCAGACAATTGCCTTAGTCTGACACCCTTAGTCTGATTTTTTCCAGCAGGCAAGAGGGTAAAAGGAAGAGGACAGCATTTCATTGCGTTGGTTGTCAAAGAGGATGCTGTCCAACATGTTTTCATCAGTATTTTGACTGATTTTGAACCATTCTTAGTATATATTTTATTCATCATGTAACTTTCTTACATTATAACTCCACACTTGTGCAAAAACAGCCCTTGAACATGTTCTTACAGAGTAGCAGCCCATTGATATTTTTTCTGAACTGCGTCATTACCTTTCAAAATGTAATTTTGTCATACCTTCAAATAAATTTTGAAAGCTAAACTTTGATATTTTGACTGAAAATGTTAGGCAGAGAGGACTTGTTTGTAAATAATATTTATATAATGTCCACAAAGACCAAGGTTTTCATGTTTGTGGCCTTTTGGCTAAGTTGTATCTACTTTTCAGTTTTTATATTTATTCAGTTTGCAGACTTTTCATTTTTATTGCTAAAATTTTGGATTGTGATTGAAAATTATAACTAGGTTGTAGCTTGTAAATTGTGCAAGTGGCAATGTGCATGGTATTATATCCTCCTGTCGTTTTCTGGCTCTGATTTATAGAGAAATATGTTTGTAAGAACCTTTCCTGTATTCGTATTCAGTATAGTTTCAAACTGCCTTATTCTCATTTTGTAACAAACAATTTCAAACCAATTTTGGTCTAAAACCTGTAAGTGTAGTCTTAGATACCTTGATATTACAAAAATGGTGTAAATAAATGGCAAAATATGCCCCAAGCTCTCTAAATAGGTAAAGAAAACTTCAGAATGTCATTTTCGTCTTGTGTACATTTCAAACAAGGTGTGGCTTTTGTTCCTGTGGCAAACAATTTCTTATATTTTTGTTTGAAAAAGATATTTTGATCCGAAGGTTCAAAAAAATTTCTAGTTCTAGGTAGTTTAAGTAGCCTATTTGCAAGAAATCAATCAAAATGCAATGCTAAATTTACTTGTTGGTTCTTCCGAGCTTTAGCAGTCAACAGGATAGCCTTTTTAGGTCAACTCGACGAAGCTACCTGCTTTCCTTCAATAACAGTTTCACCAGTTTCCTCTAAGAAATACCTGTCTTTCATCCCCTTCAAGCAGAGTTAAAGATGTCCACAGGATGAAGTTTCCTTTCTATTCAGCAAGAAGACAGCAGCTTCATTTGCTTGATAACACATTCATTAGCTCTGTGTGAATGTGGGTTTGCGTCAAGCCATGAAAACCCTAGACTCTGCTCTTCGATCAAAAGAGAAAATGTGCCTGAATTTTTGCAGGCTGATGTTTTGAATGCAATAAGTAAGTTTAAAGACATCCATTCTCTGACCTTCGAGATAATTTAGCCATCAATCAAATTTTAAAAAGTTTAACGATTCAAACATAATTTCTCTCATTTTTTTGCTTTTTTCATACTCATTTGTCTGGTATAGCATGGGATTCAAGGCATTTCTTCCTCTCTACTATCTTTGCTAGTAGAGAGGAACTACTATCTACGTTTTCTTTGCCTCCAAAATCTTCCTAGACAATATCTTATTCTTTTAGCATAAATAAATATTCCTTCCCATTCCGTTTATTACAGGCTTTGTCAAATCTTTGCTTGCAATAAAAGAATCCGATTTGTTGGTTGCAACGTTGGGTTGATCAACATGGGAAGCTACATAGTGGGCCACAAATTGCTACCAAACTACATGGACCATTTTTTTGGAGGTATGTCAGAAATTATAATTATTGCTACTTTTTAACTAGGTTTGTTAACCCTTTCTACTACCGTGTCATGAAAAGTAGAGAATGTATTTAAAGTATATGAAGACGATTCACCTTTTTTCAAATTTTATACATATACATTTGATTTGTAGTTCCATTTCCTCTTTTTATCAAACCTTTGCAACCTAGGTAAGCCAAATGAAGTATGGAAGTTTGTAAAGTCTTTTTATTAATGAGCTAATGCTTCTCATTGTTTTGGAATTCCAATGCACACATTTTTTACTGTGACAAAAGAGGAAGCGATTGACTGTGGGCTTTCCTAGCTACTTTCCCTCTTAAAGTGCTTATGACATGAACATTTTTATTCCCTTAAACTATAAAAGAAACATCGCTGGGAATGATGGGGAACTTAGTTTTTTCATTTGCGACTTGATTTTCTTACACCCACTTGAGCTAAAATGTGTCACAAGAAAAACGTGTTCGGGTCTGTGGTCATGTGACCTCTATAACGTAAAGTGGTTGTGTATTCTTTGAAAAGAATGAGCTGCCCTATGGATTCACTATGTGATGGCACTTTTGTTGTCCCCCTAATCGATGGTTTTTTGCATGATTATTACTCAAGCACAAAATATGTCACAAAATATCTCAAAATAATCTAGGTCAATTTTTCGGTAATTACAAAATTAATAAAAATAGAAATGACATGATATCATATATAAATATATATATAGAAATGACATGATAGAAATTTGTCTTTTGATACTTCCGTAGCACAGTGCTCAATACGTTAGCACGTAGAGTGTGATATATCATAGATCTTCAATCTATGAAATGACATGATATATATATTGCGTGCCAGAGTCATAGTTTCGCACTTCACATGCCAATATTGTTTGCAACAAAGTCATATCTAAAAAAAAATATGATTTATTACAACAAAATCAGAAAACTTTTGCTATAAATCAGGTACAAACGTTGCAGTAAATTAGTATGCACGGTTTTAAGAAACGAATACACCTCTGATGTGTGAAAAAGTGTAAATTGAACTTACCAAGACTATCTGATTTCTGTTTTCGAATCCTACTTTCGAATATGTCACAAAAAAGGAGCAGGGGAGATTAGGGAGGAAGATGTTATTGTCCTGGACTACCAGCTGAAAAAGCTGTACAAACAGAAGTTTGACGCCTGGTATAACTTTGCACAAGTTACCAAAAGACGAAAAGATATGAAAGCTGTGGGTGCAGTATATAAAATTGCATTGTGAAGATTTTGATGCAGCTAAAGTTATGGAGAAACCCCACTGAGTTCAACTTTTCCCTAAAACGTATATAGTTCATTTGCATTTTTTCTATCACGATTCAGAAAGTCATATAATTTTTAGGCACATCCTTGCAATCTTGCACTTAGTGAAAATCTGATTAGGGAGATAGAAACTCTTAAAGATGGAAAGGAATATATGATTCAAGTTGGATGATGAGATCGTGAGGAAGGTTCCTGTGCCAGCAACACACAGTAAGTTATTTTTAGTAAATTTGCTCAAATATGATTACAGAATATCACTTCATTAATATAAACAGATAGTTTGAGGTTTTCAAAAAAAAATACAAAAGTATTACTTCTGAACAAAGTTTTGGCAAATTGGAAGACTTGTATACTAGACAGACTAATTTTCAATTTGTGTAATTTTCAGGTTATGTGGAAGAAATTCAAAAAGTTGTTTTTGGTATGCTTGAGTCGAAGATGGAAAAAATTATTGAGGAAGCAGAAGCAAAGATGTCCAGCTCTATGACCTCAATGTTTGAAAATAGGATCTCAAAAGAAAAGACATTAGAAAAAGCAAGACAACGAGAAACCCTGCCCTATCCATCAGGTATAGACATCAGTGATACATTATACAAACAACAGCTAAACATTTTGCGAAATATATTTGTGTTGAAACTTGAAAAGGGAGAAATACTTTGAAACTTCATTTATATGTCTTATTATTATAGATGTAGCAGAAATGTAAATTTAATTATTAATATGAATCTTTCTTAATGACCCTCCATTTCCCCTCTTGTGAATCAGGATAATATTTCCTTAAAAATATAAATATTTTTCCATAGTTCTTATAAGTCCATGATCAAGATAAAATGGAATTGAGGAGGGCAGAAAACAAGAAACTGAAGCAGCAGCCAAACAGTTTGGTGAAAAAAAAGAAAGGCACTGTATAACATGTGGCCAACCAATGAAAGGTCATAAAAAGGAGTCATGCCATGGGGTAATTAATATTTTCTCAATTTTCAGGAGTTATTGAACTTTAACGCTAATCAGTACATATAAAGTTTCAGAAATAAATATAGAAAAGAAGCTTCATGCAAGATATTTCCACAAAAAAAACATTTCCAGAATTACAAAATTGTCAATAAGAAATTTTAGGCCTAACTTTTTATTATCTTTCCTCAGAATCCTTATACCCTTTTGTTGATGTGCATCGTCATACTTAGTTTTTATATATGTGGATATACAGGCAGGAAGGGGCGTGCTTCGTCCCAACCAAGGTACCCAAAAATCCACCTCACAACCCATCTGTATGCAACTGCATTGAGATACCAATAGAACAAAAACTTTTTGACTTTATGTGAAAGTTAGTTTTAGTTTATCTGATTATTCTTTTTAACTGGCAGGATTATTCTTTGTTGTAGTGAAGATATTTTATCCCTAAGGAAGTCCATACCAAGGTTTATCCGAAACATGTTCCAAATTAATGCAGTCTACTTTCGTGTTTGACAGAACACAAGCGTTCTCTTTGTGTTTACTCTGTGTTCTTTAACTTCATTGTTGAGAGTTGAAAATGATTTATAATGCTCAGTGTTTTATCATTTCCAATATAAACAACTGAAAACTTCAAATTGTTTTTGACTGGTGATTTTTCAATCATTGGTGTGTCCTGCAAATCTAACTTTGATGTGGTAATTAAAGTTTGTTTCGTGACTTGTGTAGCAGTGGCAGTAAACACAGAGACTTGTATTTGTTTTGGCAACAGAGAAATAGTTTCATTAGCCAAGCCATACCACTTTCTGAAGGTCCTTTTGATGCAGTTCCAATCCTACTATGAAAAAAGATAAAGTAAATGTTTTTAGTGAATAATGGGAAGCATTTCATCATACCCATCATTCCATGCCTGGCTAAAAATGTAATCTGTGTCTTCACACATTTACGAAATTTGAAAAAAATTAAAGTCATTGGTGTTTGACTCACTTTCATGTATTCCCATTAAATTGCTAGGCCACAAAATATTCTAGTATGTTTAAAATATTAGTCTGTCAAGGAAAGGGGTCATGCTACACTGGTAAGATAACATTGGAAAATCAAATTTCTATTATAAACTTTTTATTTGCTGTTTAAACACAATTATCTACCTTTGGGTACAATAAATTTTTTGGCGAGAGACAAGAAAAAATGCCCACAGCTATCAATAATATTTCTGAAAATATGACAAATTATCTATCATTTGACACCAAATGTTGATAGAGCAAGTTTAAAATTTTCACTTCTTGGTTTACTTTTCACAGAGTTGCCCAAATATAATTACCTATTGGCCTACTTGTAAAATGACAACTTCTGTGAGATGTACATTAGAGTATAAATTATCTGCGAGGACATCTGCAACAAGTGGCATAGCTTGAAATACCAGGGACTTTCCATGGACTGTTGCTTCACTATAATAAATATTTTTCTTTCTTTTGAAATAAGAAGCTAGTCCCTTCTTTTGATCTGGTTGAACAGTATCCACGCCATCAAAAAAGTGACAAACCATATTCAAAGCTTCTTCAAATTTCTCTTCACTCAAAATGTAGCTTACCTCATCCTTTCAATGTTGATCTGACGCCATTTTGAAAACACAAAACACACGGACAAATCAAAGCAGAAAGCTAGGTAGCGATAGAGACGGGTGTTGACCAACCACAATTGTTCCATCGTTTTTCATGGATTGTGACGTCAAGAGAACAAGAGAATGCTCGCTGTTGTGCAGACGCTACAGTAGGATAAACATTTGCAATTAAATTCGAGATTCTGCAGGCAGGCTAGTTCACCTTTAACAAATGAAAAATTCTGAGCTGCATGATATAGTTACCTGGATCTACTAGATATATCATTTTCGGAAGTATTTAGCTGTTCTGAATGCAAAGTAAACCAACAACGATTGTTTGATGCCACTTTCTTGTCATTCAGCAAGCAAGCGACTCAGTTATCAACAGACGATGTGAATGAATCGAGGATCAAAAAACCTAAAAAGAGAACAAGGTATAAATATACGATAGATTTTTACTTATGTTTTAATTACCACATCTAGTAGTGTTGTGAGAGTTTACCGTCTGATTTACAAGTACTAAATAAATAATTGAAACACTTGGGAATTGGTAATTGGGAAATGATTTTTGCTACAGATAAATTTGATAAATTCCCTGTTACTTTTATTTAGCTTCTCAGCATTTGTTTTTTTTTTCTCTTTCAAACAGGTGTACAAGTTTGCTATTTTCTTTGGGGTCTTCTCTCACATTCCTAAATGATCTAATAGCTGTAGCTTACATATACAGTTACAATTGGGAGATGCTCACTTTTTCAAGTGAATCTTTTCAATGAAGAATTTTTTGCCACTGATGAACAATTGATATAACACATGTTATTTTATTTGCAGCCATGTCAAGGATCGCATTTTTTTAAGTGACCAGGAGACTCGTAGTTTGTTAGAGAGATTTGCCTAAAAATCTGGAAAGAGCAGCAAGTCTTCTTACCTTACTTGAATACAAGAGTCTTCTTACCTTACTGCAAGAACATTCACCCGAGCTATATGACCTTTTCGTATCTTTTCAAAGAGAAACTATAACTGAGGACAAAAGTTATGGAAACTTCCTCACAAACAAAGAAAAGTTAATAGCCTCTTTGTATGAGTGTCTGCGTATCTGCGTAACTTATCAACTCTTTTGGCAAGTCCCAGTCCTGTTTGCAGTTCACTGCATCCTGATGAAAGCCTTCTTGACCTGCTGAACCACATTATCACTGTAACAGAACCAATTGACATTGGGCATCTCGTGGTATTCAAAGAACAGTGTGCAGTTCTTTTCAGTTTGTTTATGTCTTGCGAAAATATTAAACCACCCGATATGCTGAAACCTGTTTTGATCAAAATGATGAAAAAAGCAGTAAAGCCATTTCAGACCATAGTAGAATGAAAATCATTAAATACAAAACAGGAAAGTTCTCTGTACACTTAGTGGCAAGCACTGCCAGCTTAGACGGAGAGGAAACAGACAAAAGAAAAAGCAAGAAAAGGGGGGAGAATGTACCAAATTAGCATTAGGGCACTCATTTCCATTGCCTGGCATTTTCATTCTGTTCTTCATTCTTCTTATGGTTTAGAAACAAGCTAACAAAACGCTTTATGCTGAAAGAATGGCAATAGAATAAAGACATAGATTGCATATACCTATACATTGTCTGACGTCTACAAATTTAGTATGTTCCACACGAATTTCATATTCAAACATTTCAGCTTATAGTATTGTGATTTTTAACATGTAAATAGACTTATACCTACATAAACATTTTCCATGTGGGTACAACAAATTTAGTATGTTCCACAAGAATTTCATAAGCACCAAGCATTTTTAAAAAAATTAATATACCGAGATATTGTAAAAAGAGCGCAAATGGAAATAACCGAATAAAGCACACGAGTCTACAGTGCAGTGAATTGTTGATTTTAAATCAAAAAACGAGATTTGGAGAGAGGAGGGGTGTTGCGGCCCTGATGAATAAGTGTAACAACTGCCATATCTTACAAATAAAAGTACTTCACCTATGCTATTTAAGTTTTCATGTATTTTGTTTAAGTTATAATGAGGATCATTATTGGCGTTAGAGGAGGGATAGAGGTTATTATTTGTTTTATTTGCATAAGGCCTAAAACTAAATTCTATGAAACATTATTTGTTCGATTGAAGATTATGGTAGAAACGTAGTAAGTCAAGGTGAATGGCTGTTGCGTCTTCTGATGAGCCCAGTACTTTTACGGCTGTGCTGTCTGCTTCTTCTTGAATAATGTATCTCTAGAAGGTTACAAAATGAGCATTCAAACACATAAAAAAGAACGGTTTTTCTGAGGAGTGGGCTCCATGCTTCAACCGTTTCTTAAGTCCTAGAAAACACTGGACGCTACAAAGGAAAGAATGCTTAAACTGCTATGGAATTGACATCTTGTCAAAAAATGCTAAACAATTTACTTAACATCAATTTATAAATTTATAGCTGAAAGAACGTTAATCGCTATTTGGATTGAAGGACAAAAGTCAGTGAGAGGCTGCAGGATGAGAGTTATACCATAAATCCCCGAATTAGCCGTCTGGGGGCTTATTTATTTTTGATATTTCAGGATGGGGGCCTATTCAAGGGGGGCTTAAATGAGGGGGGACTTAAAAGATTATTGTAGACATTAAGTAGACATTATTAAAAGACCTCGTTTATCGTAGGAGGATAGCGATCCTAGTGCGGAAAGAGCTTCTTAAACTACTCTGAATCTATATGTTTAAAAGCATTTCAAGGTCGCAATTTTGCTGCTCCAAGCAACAAGATAAGAAAAAGATTGGATGTAAACAATCCTACTTGCATTTTCAACTACTTGCAATTAAGCTGAGGACCGTTGGGCCAAAGTCAACGCTTCCATTTTGTCTTGGTACCTTGAAAAGAGTGAAAATCCAAATAAACTATAGGATACATGTGAAATGTGAATGTTTTTATTACGAGCTTGGGCTTCTTTATTAAAAATGAATCAACAAGGCAATTTTTTAATTGACCTGGATTTGAAAAACATGGATTTGGCGAATCTTTGAGCGAGTATTTGCACACAGGGCTTTGGTAGGCACCAGATGATAGAGAAATTGGTGATGCAGAGACGATATTATTGAGCCCCATACTCATAGAGCCCCATACTCATAGAATGCTATGGGATTTTGAACATGGTTATCTTCGATAAGCATTTGCAAGGCAGAATAGACCACAGACATTTCCACGACTTTGCTGCTGCTGCAAAATGACAGTGACATTCAGCAAGTCATTATTTTTGGTGCCATGGCTATTGTATTGTTAAGCCCTGCAATACCATTTCCCAAAGATTTAAGGAGATATTGGCCTGCAACAATGTGTTCATCACAGAGCCAGCCATTTGAATCAAAAAGGGTGTCTTGAAGCTGTCTTGACAATTTAATGCCATGAATCTCAACCCATCAAGACTTATCTTCTCCCATGTCAGGTATCTCATCAGCATTGATTGGATCTATTTCAGTGAGTATACCTCCAATTCTATATCCCATAGAGTTGTCCTCTACTACTTAGGATGCTAAGACATTTCTACTTTCATTTTTGTATGGGGTAAATCCTTTTATTTTCACTATTTGTTGTTTTTTCACTGCTAAAATTCCAATACGCTTGTTAAATTTCGAGACTTTTTTCTCACTTTCTCTTAGTTTAAGTTTCTTTGTTCCTATGCTTCTTTTTGCATTTTTTGCTGGTGAGCATGTGATATCTTCTAATGCCAACTCATTGGACATGGTTCGATTTTGTCTTGTGTACTTTATAGCTTCCTTCAATCTCCCTTTTAAATGCTCAAAACATGGTTGGTATTTAAAACGTAAAGTTCATCTTGCAAAACATTTAGCAGGTGGACACATTTTTTTCTTCTACTCATCCTGTGCATTTGTTTCCGATTTTTCAGTAGACATATTTTTTCAGTCTTCAGGTCCTGTTGGATGTTGGTTTCATCTCCATTTGGTGGTTCCTGGCTTTTGATGTGATTCATTTCCTCACAAAAGTCAACTTCCATTTCTGGCAACGATTCAGCTGTGTCATGCTCTTGCACATTGTTAATACCAGGCAAGATGACTGGGTGAAACATGAAGAGTGGATGACTTTTGAAAATCTTGCCAAGACGTTTCCAACCAACACTCTGGATATTAACAACTGCACAGATATGCTTGCACGGTAGCTTGTTGTACATATACTCAGGACACTGACATGATGGAAGATATGAATATGAACCAAGCCATACTTGATATTTTTCCGTTTGTAGTTCATTTTCAACAGCAAAGAGCTTTGGATGAGATTGATGAATTTTTTCAATGGGATACTGAAGAGACATTCTTTTCATTATATGTCGTACTACACCTGATGGTCGATTATGAAAAGCTGTGGCACTGAAGAATCATATTTCCAATACGTTGCAGATGATATTAAATTCAGCTCTGTATCTGTAAAAAACATAGAATTGAGAATTCTTTTCTCTAATCATCATTTTCTATGATCAATTATAGGAATCCGCTGCATAGCGAACCACCAAAGCCATACGCCAAATTTGTTCAAATTTTTTTGACATAATATGAATTCCAGTGTGTCAAATCTCTCAGCTTTTGAAAGCTGCATACCCATAGCTACGTGTTTTGAATGTTTCATGCATACTAGATTGGATATTTTGTCTTAAACTACTTACTTGTTCTTGTTAAAACAATGCCAAGTCTATGCTACTTCAATACTTCAATATTACAACTGCAACAATATTTCAATGCCACAGATTTAATGGGATGATAAAGATGTACATGGGATGAAAAAAGGACTATACTTACTTATTGTAATTATCTGGTAGGAATTGATTAAGCAATGTGTCAACGAATTCGGAAATTGAGCAAATCTTTTTGCTTTCCAGTTATGAGGATTTCAGTCAGCAGTTTTGGAGTTCAATGCCATTATTTGTACAGATAGCTACACACAAGGATGCTTCTCGATAAAATTTTACCCATTTCTGTGATTAGAATTGGATAGTCTTTCAATGGCATTTTACTTAAAATAAATAAAAATTCACCTGGTTTAGCTTCATGTCAAACATTTCTTATAGGTTATGCCAATAAACTTTCCACACCACAATAGCTTTTACCTCAATTGCAAGGATTTGCTATTTATGTTCAGTTGAATTGATGGCTATTCTAATGCAATTATAATTTTCAGTATTATTCAACAATAAAACAATTCATGCTTGATTTTGTTAGGTATTTTCCAATGTATTAAATTGTTAATTAATTGAAATAAATAATAATTAAAATACTGTTTAATTAGCTCAAGATGTTTTTCCCAATGATTAATGGAATAGTCACGCAAACAATCTGATTTCTGCCAAACAGAACTAGTTTGAAGTCGTGAATATTTTTATGAAGGCCTGCTCTGCTTGAGCTACTGACAATTCGTCTTAAGTAAACAAGAACTTTGTCCTTCATGTCATGCACACCATGTTCATGTTTTGAAAGCCATTCCTGCAATGCTTTTTCACGATGGAAATCACAGAGGTGAATATGGGATATAAAGCATCGGCAATAAAGTTAAGTACATAATTTTTATCAATATGGTAATTATTTAGGATGTATGCGTTTATTTCTAGGATAATAACACTACTGAACTGAACAGCTCAAAGAAAATAGTGTCACATGATGTCTATGACAATTGCTGCAATTCGTTTTCATGTTATCAACATTTGGTTTCATACTGACAGTCTAGCACATTTGGTGAAATCAGTTGTATCTCTTCTCTTTTGTAACATGGATTCAATATACACTTAAAACATAAATCAAATATTGCTGTCTATAGAATATGCTTTATAGCCAGATAGTGATCTAATGATGCTTACTGGGGAAATTCCCTTCAATTGCACGAACGTCTGCCATCAAGAGATCAGCAAGGAAATTTGTTGGTTTCCATTGTGGGTTATAAATTTTTATTGTTTCAATTGCCTCTACTATAGAAGGAATATCTTCATTCTCGGGACTGATTACTGCGACAACAATATATATCCAACATTTGCTCTGACACAAAGAAAGAATAATGGTATGGCATATCTGTAAGAAATAGAAATAGTTTATCCTTAGCAGGAAACTATTTGAAATTTCACCAAAGAGGTAGTAAATGTTGTTGACTCTTAGTTGATCCCCTGTTTTTCCAAACTTCTAATAAATTCAAATACGCTGTTTAGCATACCTAATTTCTGATGAATTTCAGTACATGAGATGTGGCAGATTTTGATTACTTCACCTGCAAACTCTGTAGGCGGCATCCAAAAGACACATCTCCTGCCCATATAAAAGAATAAGACGTCTCATCTACTCTGACTGATAGAGAAAGAGAAATTTTGATGTATCTGTAATAAAAAATTTGATGTGGCTGGAAATAAAAAAAAATGAAAGCAGGTCATTGTTGCAAAGCCTCTGTTTACGAAACAAAACAACTATTTGTTCAAAACATGCTATTTGTTCTTCTCTATGCAAAGTAGGGTTTTAGGAGAAGTCTGCAAAACCTTTTAACAGGAGGAATTATCACAAGAAAATTTTTGCTGGTGGAATGAAGCAGACACGGAGTAATTTTTGTTATCTGTTGGAGAACTTTCAATTGTTCTTTGTACAATCTTAGAGACATTAAAATAATTACCCTATCAAAAATAGAATCCAATGGCTTTGCTTTTTTTATTCTTCGCAAAAAATTGCAAGATTTTCTGGTCATCAGATGCCTGTTTCCCAAAAGTTGCGTATTCAATATATTTCTAATATCGTTGGCTGATGGTAAAACCTCTGCCTTGCTAAAGATGGTGTCTTTACACCTCGGAAAATTTTGTTTTTAACATAGCTTTCCAAATGACGTTGGACTTCGGACACAGCTTGCACTCCAATGTGATGTAATTCTTTCACCTTTTTAACAACTGCATCGTCTATTGTTTCAGGCGAGGGCAGTGGTCCCATGCTTTAGGGAAATCAAATGCTCCTTTTCTTGGCACTTTGCCCCTGTTGCCCTCTTTGAGTATAGGTTCCCTGAAAGCCATGTATAATAAGTATTTCTATACTTATTTTCCATTTATGTCTCATTTATCCCATTTATACAGTTCCTGATAACATCTAACTTGCATCTCGATTTGTTTATTCTTCCTTCCAATTTTTGCCGCCATGTCAAGTTCCACCGTTTTTTGCTGTAGCATGCCAAAAAGCGAACAAGTTAAGTTTTAATTTCAAATTGTAGGCCTTGCATTAGCACTTACCAAATTCCACTTCCTAAAAAAAATCTCCATCCAGTGTAAGAATCTTTCTTGAAACCTTGGAAGGTGCGTATTGCATCGTCCTGGTTTTCGAAACCAGTATTTTATTTCCATTTTCCACATCTATATTGTCTGTTCGCATGTTCATCAAATTGGGATTTGGTTCCTACCAAATTTTAAAATTTTCCCGCTATTTTACCAAAATCCACCTCTAAAAGAGGCTTCAGCCTCATTTTCGTTTGCAAATGTCATCATGTCCTCAACTTCTCTATGATTAAGTGCCTACCCAGAGTTTTCAGATAGCGAAGAATCTTTTCTTCTGTTTTGTGCGTCAGTGCGTGGCCGGTGGCGTTGAGAGCTGAATCCAAGACAACCCACCTAAGGAATATTTACTTAGTAAAGTACCTACTTAGTAAATTGTCTAACAAGGTGGGCAATCAAAACTGAATATCCATTCGTTTTCCTGAAATTTGACATCAGTATTTCGAACAAAGGTACGTGCATTTTACCAGTCATTTTCCAAGTTTGCACTACCAGAACACAATGCTAGCAATATCTCCAAATTTAAAAACATCAAAAGGTAATAAATCTTACAATAATAATTAAATCTGTAATTTGAGTACATGAGAAAAATGAAGAACACAAGGATCGACATAGGCCAATCAGAAAAATGCAAGCACAAGACCGGTATGGTTGATCAATCAGTGCTGCGAGCCTAAAGAAAAATGTATTAAAATTTAATGGGTATACAAACTTTCGATCCACAACTGGGTATATATTTTCCATCATGTTCTTTCGGAACCTTATTCTGACATTTTATCCTCTGAGGAGTGTCAGACGAAAAAGTTTTTAGTATGTCTTAAATATTTCCTTTTTTCAAAGCCATTTTCAAATTCTGTACCGCAAAAAATTGTTCACGTTTTTAAGAGAATTATGCTATAGAGTGGACAAACTTTCCTTTTCCATGACAAATCAAAAAGTGCATGTACCCTACCATGTGTCCCATGTAGAGCGGCATCAATCCTCATAATTTTAAAAAATATCACTTTCGTACCTAAATTTCATTTTTTTCACGTTTAAGAGGATTGATGTTACTTTCCGACTGAACTAATCACATAAGTGCATGTACCCTACCATGTGTCCCATGTAGAGCGGCATCAATCCTCATAATTTTAAAAAATATCACTTTCGTCCCTAAATTTCATTTTTTTTCACGTTTAAGAGGATTGATGTTACTTTCCGACTGAACACATCACATAAGTGCATGTACCCTACCATGTGTCCCAAGTAGAGCGGCATCAATCCTCATAATTTTAAAAAATATCACTTTCGTCCCTAAATTTCATTTTTTTTCACGTTTATGAGGATGGATGTTGCTTTTCGACTGAACACATCACAAAAATGAATGTACCCTACCATGTATCCTAGGAGAGGGGCATCAATCCTCATAATTTTAAAAAATATCACTTTCGTCCCTAAATTTCATTTTTTTTCACGTTTATGAGGATGGATGTTGCTTTTCGACTGAACACATCACAAAAATGAATGTACCCTACCATGTATCCTAGGAGAGGGGCATCAGTCCTCACAATTTAAAAAAATTAGTTTCGTCCCTAAATTTCATTTTTTTAATGTTTATGAGGATGGATGTTGCTTTTCGACTGAACACATCACAAAAATGAATGTACCCTACCATGTATCCTAGGAGAGGGGCATCAATCCTCATAATTTAAAAAAATTAATTGCGTCCCTAAATTTCATTTTTTTCACGTTTATGAGGATGGATGTTGCTTTTCGACTGAACACATCACATTAGTGCATTTACCCTACCATGTTTCTGATGGAAAGCGGCATCAATCCTCATAATTTAAAAAAAATGTCATTTTCGTCCTTAAATTTCATTTTTTCAAAGTTTATGAGGATTGATGTTACTTTTCAACTGAACACAGCACATTAGTGCATTTATCATACCATGTATCCCAAGTAGAGCGCCATCAATCCTCATAATTTAAAAAAAGTCATTTTCGTCTCTAAATTCCGTTTTTTTTTGAGTTTATGAGGATTGATGTTACTTTTCGGCTAAACACATCACATTAGTGCATTTATCCTACGTTGTATACCAAAGAGAGCGACATCATTCCTCATAATTTAAAAAAATCATTTCGTCCCTAAATATCATTTTTTCGAGTTCATGAGGATGGATGTTACTTTTCTGCTAAACACATCACATTAGTGCATGTATCCTACGTTGTATCCCAAGGAGAGCAGCATCATTCCTCGTAATTTTAAAAGATATCATTTTCGTCCCTAAATTTAATTTTTTTTCACGTTTATGAGAATTGATGTTACTTTTCGACTGAACACAGCACATTAGTGCATTTATCCTACCATGTATCCCAAGTAGAGGGCCATCAATCCTCATAATTTAAAAAAAAGTCATTTTCGTCTCTAAATTCCGTTTTTTTGAGTTGATGAGGATTGATGTTACTTTTCGGCTAAACACATCACATTAGTGCATGTATCCTTCGTTGTATAGATGGATTCCAGTTGACGTCATTTGTTTACAGTTTTGGAAACTGCGCAGGAGCTGGCAGGCAAAACAACAAACACGAGCACGCGAGCAGTATACTACTGTAGTCCCCCACAGCTGTGTAGGTTGTACCGTATGAGCTGCAAAGCGTTTTTACAGGTGTTACCAGTTTAAAACAACAGTGTGCAAGATATTTAAGTAATTACTTAGCAGCATCGGGGCAAATTTAGCGGAGCAGGTGTGCTGAATAATTTTTCTTGCTGCACGAAGCGTGCTTCTGTGTTGCTACCACGAGTTTAATAACAGCTGTTTGTTTACTGTTCTGTAGTCGCTTGCATATAAATTTCGCTTGGATATGTAATTTGCTTAATAAAGTTTCATATGATGTCGTCAGATAAAAGCTATTTCGATTCTCTGGACGAAAAAGATCAGGCTAATTACAAATGTAATTAACGTTGACGGATGGTTCTGTCCTTCCGGACCCATACAGTCTTGATGAAGGCTGGCAGGATGATGTTGGTTTGCTCCCAGATGTTGGCTGGCCAGACATATACAACTACGTAATAAATACGCCAAGTAATTTTACTAAAGAATCGTTAAAGGCCTACAAGTCTTTAGAGGCATACAACTTTTTTATCTGTGGACATGTTAATGATGTCTATTATCACCCAATAAACAACACAAGCGATTTTTGTTGTATAAAGTCGCAGGTATGTAAATCTATTCTGTCTTTACTCCATTTTTATAGATGTTTTTCTACTTGCGTCTTTATAAACAAATTTACATTTGTTGGTAAAATCTTATAAATCATGATATTTTTATCTAAAGTAATGTATTTCACTTCCAACTACAGTATGTTGATATAATCAGGGTCACTGTTCAATTCAGGTTTTACCAAGTCAAAGACAAGGATAGAAATCAAGATTGTATGACGTTTGGGTTGTACTATACAAAAAAGAAGGCTGGATTCTCTCTGCTAATTGTACTTGTATGGCAGGGTAAGTTTACATTTCAAGATATTTGAATAACATTGAAAAATAATGCTAGTTAACACAGATAATCTAAAGTCAGGTAAAAAATGTAAATGTTTGTTCTTAGTTGATACATCATACCCTTGTGATAAAGAAGCCTGTTTACAGCTAATTCCATCTAGGAATAGATATATACATACATGTATACAAAACAATGCTTTCGCTTAACATTTTAGGTTAGGATCTGTCTGTAGTCATGTGGCTGCCCTGCTGTTTAAGCTTCAGGCATGCACCCAACTTGAGCTGAATAAAGTCGCTAGCACCAGTAAGCTATGTGCATGGAAGAAATCAAGGAGGTATGCTGAGCCAGCCCCTCTAAAAAACATTGACTTTCGACGCCCCAAGAAAGATACTTGTGTCACAAATGAGACTAAAGGTAGTAAGCAACTGGAGAAGCCATACTGTTCGAAAGATCCGTCAATTTCTGGTGAGACATCTGCCACAAATAAATTAAAAGAACTGAGAAAGTTGGCCCCAAATGCAGCAATATTTACAAGTATGCTTGATTCGTCTTCAGATGATGACAGGAACAATAGTGAAACAGACACTGGTGATGAAGATGAGTCAAACTGTATTTCTGAACCATTGACAAGTTTATTTGTTCCACAAGCTATCAACTTTACCAATGATGAGTTACAGGAGCATTGCAAAAAATCATACAAAAGGTATAAAAATAGTAACTGTGTATCACAATACAGAAATCTTTGTAAAATTACAGAAAAGCAGAGTGCCTCTAGAACTTGGCAACTACAAAGAGCAGGAAGAATCACTGCATCAATTTCAAAACAGGCATTTCAAGTTGGCAAATCAGTGGATTATCCAAAAAGTCTGATGAACTCAGTTATGCAGTACTCTGAGTCAATTGATGTTGCTGCCACAAGGTATGGCAAAAGAATGGAGAAAGAAGCAAAAAGAGACTACATAAACTTGGTAACTAAGAGCCATTCAACAATGGTTGTTTCGGATACCGGCCTTCATGTCTTACCAGAATCTCCTTATCTTGCTGCATCACCAGATTGACTAATTGAATGCAAGTGTCATGGAAAAGGAGTACTAGAGATTAAATGCCCATATAAATATAAAGATAGCCTGGATGGGTGGAAGTCAGATTCCAATTTTCCAGTCTCTTCTGATGGTGTAATAAGGCAGAACCACCAATACTATTTTCAAGTGCAGCACCAACTTCTTGTAACTGGACGAAGTTATTGTCACTTTTTCATTCGGACAAAAGGGGAGAAAGAGAGTGACAAGCTACTCTTGACCATTGAAGAAGACAGTCAATTTTGCCTCAAATTGCAAGAACAATTTTGTAAGGTATTTTTTAATTTCATTTTGCCTGAAATAGTTTCTAGAAAGCATGATCAAAATAAGGACAACTCGGACAAACTTTATTGCTATTGTAAAAGACCTAGCTTCCAACCCATGATTCCCTGTAATGGACCTGATTGTGAAATGGAATGGTTCCACTATAGTTGTGTAAAAATTACCAGAGCACCTGCAAAATCTTGGTACTGCAACCAGTGCAGGAAAGCAAATTCTAAGTAGCTATTATAGTTTTTCGTCTGTCTATTTCCTGAGGTAAATTTTACATTTGACATATATTTTCCATTTCCTCTAACCTGCAAAAATTCAAAAAAAGACCTGTATTAAGTTCTTTTTTCAAGATTAAGCAAAATGTCAGCTTTTTGCTATAGTAAAAGTGATGTCAAATGTTGATTAACCTCAGGAAATAAGTTAATTAGCAGCTATTTACAATTTTTTTACAACAGCCAAGGCCCAGTTCCAAAGAATCTATCACATACCAATCCCGTTATCAACCTATTTATGAAAAAGGTTATTGACACTTTTTAAAAGCTGTCCTGTAAAGTTATAATTTGATGCATGAATGATCTGACTTGAAGAAAACATCTTAGTAGATGACAATAAAAACAATGTCATTAGTTAAAATTTGCTTATTGCAGCATAGAGATAGTATTGATTCTTTGGAATTGAGCCCCTGTTGAGGTTATATATATATATATATATGCAATTTATGAAACGACGCTGTTGTTAATGTTAATAATTGCTGATATGATAATCATGATATCATCAAGAAGGTCGATTTGTGACAAAGGGATCTTTGATTGTAAAATTGTAAATTTTCTCAATCGGCCAATGACACGCTCAACATGAATGCGAACATTCGAAATTTGTCTGGAGACTTCCACATCTTTAGCAGCCATCTGTTTTTCCCCTTTGTGAATTTTGGGATTTTTAGGTGGACGCCCCTTGTTGCCAGCTCTGTCTCAATCGTAAAACCTCTGTCTGCCATTACACAATCTCCCCATTCCAACTTGTCAAGGAATCCACTTTTGTTTGTTATCTCCTTGTCTGAGGTCTTTCCTCCCCAGCCAGGAGAGAGAAAAGACACAGCCCCAGCAGGTGTTATACCAATTAAATATTTGATTGTATTGCTGTGCTTATAGTTAGACCATGTTTGTGCTCGTGCATTGAGATTTAGAGGACGTTCAATAAATATTTCTGTGCAGTCTATGATACAAGTGCAATTTTTAAATTTTCTCTTAAAACACAGTGGGAGATTCTTTTTAACTGCAGTGCGCTCTGGCCAAACAATCAAAAACTTTGTATGTTTTGCAATTGTAGGGACCCACCTTCGAAATATTCTGGAAACCACTTGTTGAGTTATCTTAAATCTAAAAGCTAAATCTCTATTAAAAAGCCCCAGTTTCAACTTCATGAGAATCAGTAGCAAATGGTCTTCAACATTCAGCTGCCAACAGGTATATTTGATTTCATCTTTGAACAGGCTCAATAACCACAAAAATATACTTGCATTTTGGATGCCTGTATAAAAATTTACCAAAGAGCTATTGTCTTTGATGGAGGCAAAGGACATAGCTTCTGAAGGCGATCTTGTATTGCTGGACTGTTGTTGTATTGATGTATTTTTAGCAATGAGAAGGTCAGCTCTCAGCTTGACAATCTCTTCTTGGAGCTGTTGCACATTAGGAGTTGGATCTGTTTGAATTTCTAAAATAGATACATAATTGGTGATGTCAAAATTCACAAAATAGGAAATAAATTTCTTATTATGAAATAGGAAATATATAAATTTTACTCACATAAAAACTGAATCCTTTTTTATTATCAATAATAGCATACCAATAAGACCAATCAAATGTAATCAAAACGAATTTCAAATCAACAACTAGATATACAAGCTATTGGAATTTGGATACCTTTGTCTCTTGTGAACTCCATCTTGGCCTCTGTAGTACCTGGTGATCCGGGCTCCTCAATAGTCTCATCTGTTCTCAGCTCCTTTTTCCTTTTTCTTCTATCTTGGATCCGCTGAAAACGGGCGAGCTTCTTTTCAGAAGTAGCCAGTGTTTTCTTGTAGCAGAAAACAGAGGGTACATAATCTGGGTGTGTTGGGTCTAATGATCTTTTCCCTAGTACAAAATCACAATTAAAATTACAAAAAAGAAACCAGGTTAATGGCTTCATGGTATTTTAGACACTCTAATGATAGAAGGGTGAAGAAAATTGACATGTTTTGGTTTTCATTGAAAATAAGCCTTTTTGCTTAAACACAATCAACTAAGAACAGAACGAACTCAATGAAAATATTGAGTAAATCATTTCTTGTTGGTAAATTTGTCAAAAACTACATACAAATCAGCTTTAACAAAGAAAACATACCTGTTACGAAATGGGCAGAGCAAATTCTCGCGTTAGTGCGTTGTCTATTTGCTTATCACTCCAGTTTTCCCTCTTAATAGCAGCGACCCAGCGTTTGCGCAGCTCTTGCGACTCTTCGTTTGAACCAAACGGAGATAAAAAGCTTAAACTTTTATCTCCGCGTTTTCTTCTATTTGCACAACCAAAAGCACCAACA